CCCTAGCTTTTTTCAGGGTTCCTTATCCAGCCTTCAGGACCCCCACCCGTGAACTCTGGGGACTCCATCAAGGAGAGGCCTATCCCCGAGATCCGTTTTTCTTCTGGTCAAAAGGCCCAGAAACGAAAGGTATTTGGTCGGTCGATCAACATCAACCCGTCATCAAACAATTGGGAACCTCCACTAGAAATGCGCAGAACCGACAAAGCAAAAACGAAATTAAGCCATGAGTGAAGTATACACGAATCCACGGTAGTTCTGACCTCACTGTTTGTTTGCCTGACTTTAGTGAGGGAGCACGGAATAAGAATTGGCGTCGAGCGGGGTCCGTATACTCCCTGTTGCAGGATGGTCCATTTGAGACTACCATGTTGGGTATGCCAAGCCTCCTTCCAAAACCCAGATTTTCCACAAAGCACCTACCAAAATCACATGTGACTGTCCATCTCTCTCTCTATATATATATATATGGCCCCTTGAGTGTTTGTGTGTGTGTGTTTTTTTTGGGGGAGATACCAGGGCTGAAGTGACAAAGTAGTCATGGGAATCAGTCGCTTTGGTATCAGAAGATTTATTTTCTACAACCACGTATGTGCCGCACAGAAATGCAGGTTTACTTTGGAAGTAACATGCCCAACCAGCCGCTACACCGACTACCCCCTGTTTTCGTGTGGCTCAAGCAGTATTTTGGGGGATGAACGAAATCTCCCCGAGCGGGTTCGTAAAGGGCCGCTTCAATTTCTTTAGTTTCGTTTGGTTTCCCTTTTCACGTGCCCAATTTTTCACCCCAGGTCCTTGGAGGGCCTGTCAATTTCGGGAGCCAAAGCCTTCCTTTTTGGTGGGGTAGGGAAACCCGGAACCGAATATGGCGAGGTCGCTTGCCGCGCAGTGTCGGGGAGCCCAGAAATTGCAGGAGATGCAGATCAGAAGGGTTTCTGAATGGCCAGCACCAAACATGGTATTTTTGGTGGGGCAAAAGTGGAGGTAGTTTGAGTTTGCCTCGCGTTTTGGGGGTTAGAATCCCGTGTTTGAGGTTGTTTCAGAGGGAAGGCGGTTTCAGCCCATTTTGGGCGGGGGGTCCATATCCAATGTTGCTAGCAGTTCGGGTTGGCAAAAGGAGTGATCCCGCGCTGGATGGCCAAGGGCTTTCTGAGGGACGGGGGGGTTGGTATGAAGACAGGTTGTGAATCTTTGGGCATGGACTTAGACGAGCGTGCGGGTGTGGCGGTGGGGGTGAGGTGTGTGGGTTCTCAGTACTCGTTTTTTTTGGGGGGGATTTTTGGGACATGATGAACATTTGCACCAATTATGCCGAGCTCGCATGGGGGGGAACACTAACTTATCATAAAAAAGGTGTTTTGCCAAGTCGACCGGCCCGAAACAGCGGATCGTCCGTCTTTGTTCTTTCGTGTCAAACGAGGGGTCCCTTCGGGACAGGATCTTAGGTTGATAGAATTTCACTGTGGGTTCATCTTGGGGTGGGAATTTCTTGGTTCCCACGAATTTCTTTCAAGCTTCCCCAAAGGTTCTTTTCGTCTGGTATCATGTTGAGGTGGGCTCCAAAACAGGTTGCTGGAGTTTGACAACCCAAGTGGACGGTTGTGGACATGAGGGACCTCTGTCGGAATCCCATTTGAAGGCACGCCAACAGGATTGCCGTGGAGCTTAGGGCACTACATCAGCCAGGCCATCAAGGCTCTTTGCAGGGGGGCCATTGGCGATCTGATGCAGGTCATGACGGACAAATTAATCACATGTCCAACACACGAGCCTACTTTGAGGAAAGGCATGATTATCTGGGAGGTCTCCTTTACTACCTGTCGCAAGCTGACAATGACCCTGGATGTATCAAAAGTATTGATCGCTCCGGGTTATCTGACGAGGTTGTCATTTGGTCCCTGCACCATTTTGCAGGCGGCCCCCCCCCCCCCTCCCCAGCTAGACCCTTATCCCAGAATACGCCGAATTGGTGGTTTGGATTGGTGGTTTTGGGATTTTGACCCCTTGCTCCTTGTTGAGGAGCCCCCAGCCCCTAAACCACCAATCCAAACTACCAATTAGGGGGCAGCTGATGTCAGCCTTTCTCACCCTGGGTCCCTTGGAACTTTTGTGAGCTGAGAAGGGACCTAGGGCATCCACTCGCTCCGACTTCCCCATAGGCCTTAGGGATGGCTTTTTCTTTGCCCTCTCTCTCTCTCTCTGACCTCTTTGCATATGTATAAATGCATAGATGCTCACAACGAAGCCTTTGCATACATGTTCACAAGTCAGCATGCACGCAGAAGTATGAACATATGTTTGCATAAACCAGTAAACATATAAATACAATAGGTGAATAACTCATGCATACCTCAGCACATAAATACATAAACACATACATAAATCAATCAATACATCAATAACTAAATAAATAGACCAATATGCATAAACAACTTGTTAAAAAATAAACACGCACAAATAACATCATCCCCGTACACATATCAAACAATGTATGTGTATGAACACGCGTATGTGTATGGGTATATGTATGGGTATGCGTATGCGTGTGTGCATGTGTCTGTGTATGTATATGTATGTGTATGCGTATGTGTACAAATACGTAGAATCCTCATTGGAGTTCCTGTTGTTTGCGGGTCTATTCCTTTCTCTTCCCACAGCTCATAATCCTTGACAATGCTGCATCCCTCCAAAATCCCTTTGTCTTTTACAAATAAATCTTCAAACCAGAGTTCTGAATTGATTATCTATCATTCCTCCTCCAAGCCTTTACCAGCTAAAAATAATGCTGGACAGGGGAATGACGTCTACAACATAGTATGTCTTTGCACTTCCGGGATCTAGCAAATACAATCCTTTTTTCCATTCCATCCTCTTCTTATAATTGCTCGCGATGGAAAGTAGCCAAGATGCCATTCCTTTCATCTCCGCATCCCATAAATCCAAAGATCTAGGCCTACCTCTCCGATTTGGATGGCTTTGCGACGGTAGGAGAAGGTGGGCCCCTTCCCTCTGTATCTCTTCTCCGTCGCAAGTAAGGGTTCAAAATCCTGAGGCTTCATTCTTATCCTTTCCTTTCTAATAGACAGCAAATGCTTCTTGGATGATTCGAATGGTGGATATTCTATCCTCATGCCTAGCTATCTTCTCCGTACTACCGAATGGATCCATCTTGCGCATTCCCATTCTATTGCTAATTCGTTCGAGGTGAGGGCAAGTGATGGTCATAAGATCCCGAGCAATGGATAATGTTCGGGAGACCCCCCAACCCTTCCCTGAAACCAAAGTAAGATGATAGTGCACGCTCTCTCTCCAAACCTTTCCTCCACCAACGCTAGAACCATTAAATCTCTAGAAGATGCGGAGGGACGCCATTCATTTCTCTCTCCTAATTCCCCACTCGTTGGTGACAGAGAGGGGAGAGAAGGCATGACGAGAGATGTGGAAGAGATGACCATCCATTCGCTCCACAACCATTTACTTTGTATCGCCAGCGAATGGACTTTGGGTCTGGGGGATTAACGCGCTGTAATTACAATATGATGGAGGCTTACGAGTTTCTAGGTGTAGATGGGATTGGTAAGCTGGAGATATAGCCTGAAAAAGAGCAAAACATCTATAGTCCTATTTGTTTAGTGCTCATTTGGTTCTATGGAAATTCCAGGTTGATAGAATCCCTATTAAGAATTCTGAAGAGTTTAGAGAAGACATATGATGTAAGGTAGTTCCAAGAGTAGGACATGATGTTTATGTCTCACCGGCAATTTCTACCTCATGAAATATCTCTTTGGGACACCAACCACAGAGAAGTTTCCGTCTCGTCACTCCATCTGATCTTTATACCTTCTTGTGTCTCTTCGAATAATCACGGGACGGGGAGACGATCGCCTGAAACCAAAAACAGCAAGTCATTTCATTTACTGTACAGACAACCGTCTATAGCCGAGAATTCTTGACCATTGACTGCCAAGGAAGAAATCATCCAAGAAGCATTCTATTCTGGACACTCACTCACTTGCCTTCATTAGATTCTTCTATTATCATTCTCTGACTTTGGCTTGAAGAGGAGAGCACCTTTAAACATGTTGATTTCACTTTACTTCGGAGCCTGTCTTCAATTCAATCAGCTGTGGCCTTACCCACTTCACGGTCTTCAGGGCAGCTTTTGCTCGGAGACCTCTTACGAGGCACGTGGTTCGAGTGAAGGGCTTCCGCCAATTGGGCTTGTTTTCAAGGGAAGCCAAAGGGAAAGCCACCCATTTTTTTTCGGCCCCCTAGTTATTTTGAGACGCGGTGTTTGTCTATTGTGTGCGGTTCCGTTTTTTAAAGGCTTGAAGTTCGAAGGCCAAGCGGCTTCCCGCGATGGCTTACCTTCAAAACCACAGAGGGGTACCAAGCCTCGGAAAAAGACATGCCCAAATCAAAGGGCTGGGCAGGGGCAAGGGGTCGGGTGGGGGGAAGGGTGCGGGGATGGGTGGGGGAGGGGTTGATGGGGAAGTAACATATTGCCAGACCAAAGCCCTCCAACGAACTGTGAACTTGGCTCAGATCCGTTCCAATTCGCAGCTGGAGCAAACCAACATCGGTTTTTGACCGGTCCCATACCCCGAGACCTGTTTCTATCTTGGGTTCAAGCTCATGTGCATCCAGCCATTGGAATCCATGGTGACCGCAATTTCCAGTACATCGCCCTAGGTTCAGAAGCCTTTGGTCTGCTTCTCCCCCGTCACTCGGATTGAAAGCTCCATTTGGTTTCCAGGAAACGAGATCGAGGTTCTCAAACTGGATTTCGGGCCCCTTGGTTGGTAAAAGCGGAACTGGGGGGCCCTTTGAGAAGCACCCAAATCAGAAGGAAAGCCAACCCTTTCAGGCGATGTTGACCTTTTCTTCTCGTTTCGGCGGCACGCTTCTTCTTCATTCTGCCAGTCGACCCACAGGGCGCGAAATTCGATGCGTCTTTGAAGGGAAACCGAAAGCAAAAAGCCAGTTTCTGGCTCGCCCGGGCCTTTCTATTTGGAGAAGCGCCTGCTTCACTTTGTTTGCCACGGCGAGGGTTCCGAAAGTGTGCCAAGAGGGTGGGCTGAAGCATAAACGCAGCCTTTTGTTTCGGTGGATCCACCCATGAGCAGCCAGTTTGCCTGTCCTGCTTTTGTTCGGTACAGACGGGCCAGCGAGTTGTAGAAGGCCGGGGGCTCTGCTTTATGTTTGGTCGGGGAATGATTCTAATCTTGCCTGGGCCTTACTAGCCAGCCGTCTTCGCCTCTTGGCGCAGCTCGATTCCTCTGGGCCATTTTTTTGAAAGGAGTTTCCTTAAGTTTCTGTTGAAAGGCCGAATCATCATTTGACCAGGTCATTTTGAAGGGCACTTGCTTTGCTCATGACAGCCAGAGCAAAAGTCCAGGGGATGGCGCGGAGCACCAGTTGCAAGTCGCTGAGGCTCGGGCGGAAACGTTGGTTCGAACAAGCATTCCTTGTTCAGGGTTCTACTGCTGCTAGTGCTGCTGTTGCTGCGACTTTTACCGCTGCTGCTACTACTGCTGCTTGTAGTACTGCCACTGTTCCTACTGCTCCTGCTGCTACTTCTACTACTGCTACTCTTCCTACTGCTGCTGCTAATGCCTATTTTGCAATTGTTTAACCAATTTCCTATTTTGCCAATCTTGCTTCTGTTGCCAACTTTTTAGTTCTACACGATTTGTTCCCGTTGCCGAAAACACGATGGTAGAGGTAAGTGGAATCACTGTGGAATCTCCATTTCCCCGGTTTTGGTTTAGTATTGTTTCCCAGTTGCCCATGGTTTCACCGCATTTGTCCTCTATGTTTTGGGTTAAAATGTCTTCAACACTGCAGAAAACGCGCGGGGATAGAACGGAACTTGGAGATATTGGTGCGTCTACTTTAGTTGACCCCAACAAATTGCAAATGCCCTCAACAAACACCCATATTGGTGTTTGGTTCGTTTCCCTATGAATGAACGTGCTGTTGCAACATAGGTATTGCGACCAAAGAAGTTGGGTCCTCTCCTGGGACAGATTCCCAGGCAGGGAGCCTTGCGTTAGCCAATCTGGTGCACCTTGCCAACGCCAGCAATCTGGGCAAATTCGATGGGCGCCGAATCCAGCACGTCCAAGTTGCTGGTCTGTCCACTTCCGCTCCCGTCACGCCTGCTCACAGGAAATTGGCTGTCTCTTCTTCGCTTTTCGGGCGTCATCAATGTAAATTAGGTTGTTTTGGGCCATTCTGGTTTTACGACATGGCATGGAGCAGGTGCCCCCGAACTTGAACCGTGGAACAGACCCCGTTCTGGCGGGTGTTTCAAGGAATCCTTCCTTGCTTGCTTGCTTCCTTCCTGAATCACCTGTTGTCTATTGCTCACTCCTCACGATAGGCCAACAGTTTTGCCGGCCTTTGCTTGTGAGTAACTGCAAGCCAGTTCACGGTAAGATTTGACATCCATATTGAACGGTGGCCAGGGTCTGGTGCTTGAAGGGCGGGTTTGGGTGCCAGGAGCAACCGGTCCCGAAGGACCAGCTTCAGTCAGCTGAGCATGGTGCCCCTCGGCAATCGAATCGATGGGAGGCTAAAGGAAAATGGTGGACCCGGGACCCCTTTTTGTTGCAAATCAAGGCAAAAAAGGACACCACACAGTTTTGGAGAAGGATTTGGAACTCCCGAAAAGAGCGGTTTCCCTTTGGCGTTCCCTTTCAATCAACCGACAAAGCAGGAGCACTCGAAAAAGGACAACCTAGACTATGCCGAGTGATTCCACCAAGTCTGGGTAGATTGAGGTCACCATGAGGATTGGCTTTGTTTTTAAGTTTTGAACATATTGTAGAATTTGCAGATGGATGAAGTAAAGGGAACATACGGGTGTATCAGATCTTCTTGAGGGCACCTTTTCTTGAGTGGAAACGAAATCCAGAGGGAAACCACCGATTTTGGTGTCACCAATGCGGCTGTGAGAATTGATTTATGGAACCCTCCTGGCATGTTTTTTCGTCGGGTCCCACACCGCGAACAAGAAGCTTCCAGCTGTTCTTGGCGAGCAAGGTTCGTAAGCCAGGCAAGACTTGGCTTAAAGAATTTGGTGGGCCGCCGTGCGATGCCAAGGAACTCCTATTTGTTTTTTTTGGCCTCCCGGGGTGATGCCGAAAGGTTGGGGAGCACTGCCCCTGTGGAAGGGAGCCGTCGAGGTACCCCCCGTACAGAGGGCCTGGACACCCAGATAGCTTTAGCTACAGGGGTTCTTACTTAAGCTGGTCAAGGACCGCTGGTCACGTGCTGGTCAGGAAGCTGGTCAGCGTGCTGGTCAGGGAGCTGGTGATGAGGCGGTGCTTGTTGCTGGTCAGAGTTGGTGGTGCTGGTGTTGACTGCGGTGCTTGTTCGGCGCTGCAGTCCCACATCTTCCCACGTGTGTTTTGGCACACCGTCGCGCCAGCAGATTCCGATGCGCGCATCCTGCACGGATTCCCGTGCGTGCCGACCGCAACTGACCAGCACCCTGACCGGCACCCTGACCAGCACCCTGCCCAGCACCCTGCCCAGCACCCTGACAGGGTGCTGGTCAGGGTGCTGGTCAGGGTGCGGGTCAGGGAACTGGCGGTGACTGGCGGTGCTTGTTCCCAGATAGCTGATCCCTCTAAGGGGTTCGTACTTCTAAGGAGGGGCAGGCTGTTGTGCCAGTTCAGGCCGGGGTGGTGCTGCAGGTGCTGGTCTGGGTGCTGCTGAAGTGCTATGGTGGTTGCTGGCACTGCCTGCTCGCGATGCAGTCAGGGCGCCGTTGGCGGTGCTTGCTTGGCGCTGCTGGTCTTACGTTGGCAGTTGGCGCTTGTTTAGGGCAGGCAAGGTGCTGTTTCGGGTGCTGGTCAGAGTGCTGTTTGGCGTCCTTAGGGAGGTGGTTGCTGGCAGTCAGGCTGCAGTCATGATGCTGTTGCAATCTCCCATGCTATCCCGGGTCTATGCTGGTGGAATTGTTCAAGAAAGGAACGGCAAAAAAGGCAAGCGGACAACGTCACTTCTCCTGTGTTCCTCTTTTGTGGCAGAGTTCCCTTCGAAATCAGCCATCGCAAAAACGAGGCTTGCTTTGTTTTCCAGGGGCAGCTTGCTATATTTCCAAGGAGCAGAGTCTACTTCACAAGGTTTTTGGCATTCGATGTTCAGCGTTATTTAAATGAACGTTTGTGCAATGCTCTTGGGTTTGTTCTTAGTATTCTGGTGTTGTTCATTGTCAGTTCGTGGTTCTGTAATCATTTGGGTGAGTGATTTTTTGTTGGGGAACCCCTTGTTTTTGGTTGTCAGACGGGGTTGCAGAAGGAACGCCATCTGTTTTTGGCCCCGCCTTCAAGACACACAGTGAGACGCCGGCGTTTGGGAAGGGAAGCTGGGCATTCTGGCGAGCTCCACTGAGATCTTTTCGGTTTGCATAGAACACTCACGCAGTTCTCTTGGTGGTTCCCAGCCATCCGGTTCCTTAGGTTAGTTTTTTTTGTGTTTGTTTGGTTTTTGGGGTTTAGTGGTAGTTTCCATCTCACCCACAAGATAAACGTTTAGCGGGGATCTGGGTACATAGCGCCGCAGTTGTTCGTATATATTTGTTTGAGGGGGGGATGATATCTTGGGAAGCCTCTGTTTCAGAGAGAGGCCTAAAACGACACCGTACTCAACGGAAGCCTTGGAGGTTTGGAGGTTCCCTGAATCTTCCCATGGAGTGTTTCTAGAAAGCGGTCAACCCGCTGCTTCAAGCGGTTCCCGTCCTTGGTACCTTGTAGATACACCAAAGGGCCAAACAGAGGGGCTCCAATCTCACTCTATTTGTGAATGTTTTGGCTGAACAGCTCACCCTTTTCGTTTGCCCAAAAACACACGACCCATCGGTGTGTTGATATTTTGGGATCCCGATCGGGTGTTCTCGGGACGCTTTTGGGCTGGTGTTTTGGTGCTTTTTCTTTTCTCCTTCCCCGAGCCTCTGGCGACTGTAAACCTGAGACGATAGTGGCACCGGTTGGACTGGGATCCACTCGAACCTCGCAGGCTTGGCATTCGCCCGAGTTCCCTTTTTGACATTCCTGGGTTGCGTTCGTCAAAGATTGGTTTAAACTCCCATAATCAAAGCAGCAGGGGCCCATACCAGGGGCTGAAAAAAGCATTTGCTTTTTCTTGGAACCACTGATCCAAAAGTGGTGGACATGAACCGAATTCTGATGTCCACTACAGGGTCTCCAATGAAAGGTGATATCGGTTCATACATTCAGCTTGTAGCGCAGTATGCACCTTCACTGCCCGAGTTCCTGGACTTTAAACTTTAGTGAAGACCATTCTAGTGGTACACAACAAGTTTTTGTTTTGTCCATTTTTTCCCTGACCGGCCCACGTAGGAGGAAGCGAGTACCATTCCTCCCAACCCAAATTCGAGTCTGGCCCCCTGCCCCGAGGTCACTGTCGCCCAGCGAGGCCATCCAAAAGGAACACGCCAGCGCGCGGCGCTGCATGGAGCGCGGGCGCCTGATAGAAGGGGGTCGTGCGTGGTTGCAAGGTACCCACCAACTAACATGGAAAGCAGTCTTTCTACCGGTTCTATGCACTTCCTTGTTAGTTGGTTGGAGGCTTCCCTTTTTGTTAAGGTATTGGTTTTAAGGGAAACCGCGAGAGAGAGACCGCCAATTTGGAGTCCGCATCATTTTGGCCCTTATGATGTGGGTTGGTTTGGGGATTTGAAGCCCTTGTTGAGGGCAAATCGGAAACCACCCCCAAAACCGCCCAACCACCAAGCCAACTCAGCAACCAAGTGCAGGCTGAGTAAGGGGTTTGAGCGCGCCTCGGGTGTTTTCTCAAACAGGACATGAACCCTAGCATGACGATTGGCATTCCTTCCAAACCGAAAGAGGGAGTGCCTTCATGGGTTGGGCAAATTGTGTTTGAGTTTACTACACCAGCCGTTTGCGCCCTAGGAATCTAGGAATTAAGACTCAGGGTTGGCAGCTTCGGGCCTTGCGCGCTTGGCGCTTTGGTCTCAAAATAGGTCACCCCAAGCAGCAGCAAGTCGGGAACCAAACAAGCAGTATTTTCCAGCCCCCCCCCCCCCCCCGACATTTTCAGGAGCCCGGATGAGGTGTTTTCCAGGGCCCAATTTTCAGCGATTTGTTTTTGAGGGCAACCAAAAAGGACCCTCCCCCCCCGGCATTTTTGTTGGGTCCTATTGTGGTAAACACCCTTTTGAAAAGGGACCCACAAAGGACTTGAGTTGAAATAGCCGAAAAAAGGGAAACAAAACAGAAGCCAAGCGGGGGTGACCAATTTTTTCCGCGACATACCTTTCTGCTTAAGAACATGGTATATTTTCCCCTGTTGGGTTTAAAGGGAATCTATCACTACTGGACATATGCTCTCATTTTTGCAGAGGGCGGACAAACACATGGAAGATACGCACTTGACCCAAAGTTCCAGGCGCGAGCAGCGCTGGCTGAAGCCTGGTGCCCCAGAGTTTCCGGTTGAGGGCGGGCTTGTTCGGGGATCCAGTGTTTTTCTCGAGGCCTAAATGGGTGTTTGTCGTTTTTAAGGGACAGCCAACTGGAAGACCACCGTATGGAAACCCCTCAGTCCCTCAGCAAGAAAACCAAAATCAGGAGGTTGTAAGGTACGTCAGAACCAACAGAAATCCAGGTACCCAGCGCCCCTGCTTTAGGGGGGCACCCCTGTTTTGGGCGGTTTAAAGGGAAACAAAAAAACAACCAGAGTGGGAAGAAGGATAACAACCCGTACCCTCCCACCCAGCGTGGAACCCACCAGAAGCTCAAACTGGTCGTCTCTTTGGAACCCTTGAACGACCAACCAGAACTGTCAACCTGTCACCCTGTCAACCTGTCAAGCTGTCAAGCTGTGAAACTGTCAAGTGGTCCAAACGGTCAAAACAGAAAAGGTTGTAAATACGCTTTAAAGCAACCTTTGCAAGAACCGTGGAGACAGACCAATCCAGGCCCGCATGCACTGAATCCAAGGCGAGCGCTGAGCGAAGAAATCCGGAAGATCGGGGAGATGCAGGAGATATGTCGACGCGGTTTCGGACAACGGTTCGCGTCTCGCTGTCCCTGAGGCTCGCTCCAGTATGCCTCTTAGTACTTGGATGACCGACCACCTTAGACTTGGCATTTGGGTCTGTCCTTTTTTCAGGCTAGCACGTTTTGGGTGGGTGTAAAGGGAAGCAACAAACATAACCACCAATTTGGAGGGTCCCTGACAAGCCCATGTGGTCAATAAGATCCCCAGGACTTAGCCCAAATCCCATCCCAATTCCTTTAAAGGGAACCCGGAATGAGGTCGTCTTTATAAAGGGTGGCTTAAACATGCTTAAGCAAGAGGTCACCGCGCCTGCCAGCCTTTCTAGTACTTGGATGACTACCCTTTGATTTACAAACCGTCCAGTTAGTAATCAAGGGTCCCGGACACCCTAGAAGAACGGAATTCCAGCAATCACGCCCCCCCCCCTTTTGGAGATCCAAAAAAGGGAACACGAGGGCCACACTTGCCAGACCAAAAAGTTGGAAATCGAGGGCCACACTTGCCACCTTTGGAGGTCCAAAAAAGGGAACGCGAGGGCCACACTGCGAGGGATCCCTTTTGGAGCTCCAAACGCTTCCCATGTCCTTCGAAGGAGCAGGACGCCGCTGAGCTGGAGCGGACCCGGGACCGCACGGAGCGCCAGAAGCAGGCGAGCCACGGCGACCGCCGTGGTTTTTTGTTGGTGTTTGGTTTTCGGTCGGTTGGGAGTTCAGAGGAACATCCGGCAGGTTTTGTTTTCTGTTTGTCTGCTTTTCTTTTGGTGGGGAGGGGGAGCGCCTCGCCCGAAAATTGAAAGGAAGCAGGTTTGAACATCCGAGATACATTGAGGCTGGTTGGACATTTCGATTGAGGCGAAGCGATTACAAGTCACCGGGTCCTTTTGAAACCAACAGGGAGAACGATAAGAAAGCAACGAAAAGAACATGGGTTTGTCTCAAAAAATGGGGAACCCCCAAAATGGGTGGTTTCCTTTTTAACTTGGCACTGAAGGACAGCCACAGCCGTGTCAGGGCAAGGGGGCTTTCCAACAGCCACAGCTACAGCCCCGAATGCACGGCCAGCTGCGTGGCTTGCAGAGCAAGGGTAGGGGGCCAGGCCTAGGGCAAGGGGCTTAGCGGGTGAAGGGCAAGGGCCGCAGTCAGGTCATCTGATTTTACGGTTGAAAAATCCGACGGCGCATGGGGCCCTCCGTCGTCTTCCGATGGCAGGCGGAGTCCCGTACGGCGCTGAGAGTGCGGGTGCAGAAGCGAACGGCAAACTTGGCTAGCCCTCGGGATTGGAAGGGCTTCGGATTGGCTTTAGATTTGGCCAAGAATTTTGAGAGCCTCAAAAATGGTTCCTGTAGATGAATGCTAGTTAAGCATCACACACACACACACACGTGGGCTGCAAACCGGTGGTCCTAGATTTGCGCATCATAATGGGCAAAGACAAGAGAGAAGGAGGGCCCTCCCGCATACGTTCCTCTGAAGCATGGGGAAGGGCCCGCTTTTGTTTTCAGGGGTGGAGATCATGAAGGTCTAGCTCTCAAATTGTTGACAAGGTTTCCGTTACGAAGCTATCCAAGGCGCGGGGGGCTCAGATATGGACCTGTGATAAACCCGGTGTCGCTGCGCGTGGCTGTTTGTCCCAAGTTTCAGTGCCTGGGGCCTTTTCTGTAGAAACGGGTTTGGGGTGAAAGGCTTTCGCAATATCAGTCGGAGTCAAACATATGTGTTCGGTTGGGAGGCAAAAGCTGAGGATACTTTAAATACAAGTTCTTCAAGGGTTGATCTTTTCTGTTGCAAGTGGGTAAAGACTGGGTAGGCTTCGTAGACAACACCCATTCCCGCATGTGTCCCCCAGATATCCCCAATTGCCAGTTCTCATCCCCAGGTGACTTCGTTCAGCGTCTATTTCGCTCAGTTCCTGGACCTAGTATTTATGAAGACCATTCGTGCGCGGCATGCAGCAAGGTGGGTAAACCAGCTCAGTTCCTGGACGTCCGAAAGTTTTCAGGTCTTGGCCAGCTCAGGAAGCCTTGGGATCTTCGCGTCGGCCTAAATGTTGCCCATGTTTGTTCCTCAAGGTGCCCTTTGTCTTGGGTGGTCTGAAAGGAGACAACCCTGATTCCGTAATTCTCACGAGTGGTTCAGTTCGGAGCCATTCCCTCATGTCCAAACCAGTTGCGTTTTTTCCCAACCCCCCCTCCCCCCTCCCTCCCCACATGAAAAGGCATCATCTGCCAGTTTTGCTTCCCACGGAGAAGAGCTCTTGCGCCACTGGGAAGTCCTTCAGGGCAGAGGCAGCGGAGCCTGAAGCTCTGGGAGAACAGCTGCAAAGTGAAGTTCGAGGAGGAGACACCGGGGTTGGGCAGGGGTTCTTTGTGGACCCCCGCTCTGATTTGAAGAAGAGAAACCTCAGGGAGCCAAGCATTTTTCAGGCACCGCTATTCTAAACCTGCGTGTGGGGTTGTCTCCAAACTGGGGAATTTTTGAAATGAGAGATTTCAGGTTGGATTTCATTTAACCACCGAAAAAGGGTAGCCTCCTTGTTGTGGGTTGGTTTCAAGTGCACCATTTGTGTTTTCCTTTCAAGTGAGCGTTTCCTTTCGGTGGGAAACGTAGGGAATCCTGTAGGTGCAGGGGGCGAACATGGTCAAAAGACCTGCAACTTGCGGTTGCTACTTAATTGACCCTGCTTATGTGGTTAACAACCGGGGTTTTATAGGATACCTTTCAAATCATGTACATGGGCATGTGCGCAGAGAGAGGGTGTTCCGGGTTGATTGACAGCCCCACTTGGCATTTCCCCAAAGAGTTTCTACGACCCGTCAGAGACCTAGGCAACCCACTAAGGTCGGATTGGTGGACCCAGGAATTGAGCTGTGAAGAATCCTGGGATGGGCCCTGAGCGAGGTTCGGTCATTGTTTAGCTGTTTCGTGGGAGGGACATGGGGACTCCCTTTTTAAACCGGAGGACTCACGAAATGTTCTATCAGGACTCAACAGATATGAGTTGAATCCCTTCTTTAAGGAAGCTGGTGATTGAGCCAATCGACAGATGAGAACTTCATTTGGCCGCTTCGTTTTTTGATTGCTTTTTTTGCGGCGCCCCTTTTACTCGTGGTTTTGACACTTGTTTGCATCCCACGTGCCTTCTTAGGGCATAAACAACATACTCGGGGTCATGAGATTTATATTTCCATCGGTTCACATTGCTTTGGAGGTGAGCCCCGGGGCTCCAAGTGGCTTGATTCACCGCGGTTGGCTTGGGTTTGAGGGCCATAGGAGCAGCCACGTTTTTGTTTTTTTTTGGGGGGAGGGGGCGTCCCCTTGACTTTTTTCATTTATCACATCATGACGCATCTATCCTTTAAGGGACCTTGGTTCTGGGGGAGCCCAAACACGAGCTGGCTCAGGAGGATTACAACGGGATCAATACCCAAAACACACCCTTTTTGCTTTCTGTCGCAGGGTTGCTGGTTGCCTGCAGTCGCCAGTCGCGTCTGACTTGGACCCCTTGCCTTTCTTCGGCCAAAAGCCATCGCCCCCTTTGTAAAGGGCGTGTTTGGCTCAGGAGGTTTTAGGACCAAAGGCCTGAACATAGTGTGGGTGGACGAAATCCGCTTCGCGCCGGGATAGATGAGACACACATATAAATAGTGGCGGATAAACCACGAGTTCCAACTGGTGCGAAGTGCATCTTGTCCATCCAGAGTAGGAGCCTCTTCTCAACTTTGGGCAGGGAAAAGTTTGAGCTATGTTTCGGGCTGGTTTGGCCCAGGTTTCCCCTGGCTCCTTCAGCCAAAAAGGAACGGGCGTCGGGTGCTTTTCAGGTTGGCATTGCAACCATGTCCATGTTTCTGGGATGAGACAAGGTGCCAGGACATTTGTTTTGGGGTGTGCGGCCTCGGCGAAGTGGACACCTTTGAAAAGACAGACCGCCCGGAAGTTGTTTTTTTTGACCGACTTGAAAACGAAGACTCACTGCCGTGGTTTCTCAGGATTTTGGATTTGAACCCTTGGTGCTTTAGTAGAGGGTAAATGGAAAACCAATTTCTAGCCCCACAGTAGCGGGCGACAGCAGGCAGAGCCTGCTAGAAGGTGTTTAAGATCTCTCCGATTCAATCGGAGCTGAGGGAGCTCGCAGGTATTGGTATGCGATGTTTTCTGTGGACCCACCTTGGGGTACTAAAAGAGTACTGAAAAGGTGTTTAACAAAAGGACCAGGGTGTCTCCTCCCGAACTATATTTTTAGGACAGGCCATATATGAAACAGAATCTGACCATCTTCTTGTTTGTGTACCCTTTTTTGCGAGACAGTTTCTGGCACAGCGTGGGCAGAGGCCTCACGCGTTTGTGTTGTCTTTGGGTTTTGACGGACCCCTCAAATACCCGATCTCGATTGGGGCTGTTGAAGGAAGACGATTGACCAGCTAAAAGAGATGTCTTTGTTCATTCCTTTGCCCAATCCCTGCCTGTTTTTTTTTTTCTTCTGCAGGCTCGATTCTCGATAGCCGGACTCAAAGCATTTTTCTCTGTCTTAGTCAAATGGACAGACAGTGCACCCCACTTGGTCTTGACCAGACGCGCTCGTGTCGCAGGTTTTTTTTTTGCAGGATGCCAGACTGCCTCAAAGGGTCGCTTCAGGTTCAGCACGCTTGTTTTTGCAAAAAAGACATCTCGGAGGGTTTTTGAGTTGCTGAAGAAGGGGTCGGGCAGCTTCCAACTCCAATGTTGCCGGCATCAACCTCCAGATGTTCCACCAAAAAGGAAGTTCAAAGGACAACTCAGAACCTGGTTGGATACATGATAGTGGCTGAAGGCGCAGACGCAGAGCACAATATGAGTTCTTAAGTTCTTAAATGTTCAGTTTTCAAATTTGTTTCTTTTCTTGGGTTTCTTCATCATGTCAACTTCGGGATCATCCGGACCCTAGTGAGAGGACCCCTCTAGAGCATCTTCTTACTACAAGAGCCGCCCCTGAAAAATCGTATGGTCCTCCGGATTCAACATCTCGCAGAGACGAAGAAATCCTCGGTTTTGGCTTTGTGAACAGAAGGCATTAGCAACTGTCGACTTTCTTTTGCTCCTGGGGCGAGCCCTCTCCCAGGAGAAGCGGCAGAAGCCGGCGGCTTGGTTGGGGCAAGGGGCGAGACACGCAACAAGTTTGTGGCAATATCGGAAGGCCCTGTACTTGGCAAGTTTCGTTTCATGGATGTCTTCTGCAATTTTCAGAATGGAGTTGTGGGTTCCGGAGCCCATCGCCACTGGCAAGGTGGGCAAACTGGGTTGCTCCAAGCCTCAAAACCAAAAGGGTAGAAGGTCGCTTTGGCTTCCTTTGGGTCCCCTCATCACGGGCATATTTTCTACGCGGTGGTTCCAGAACTTGGTCCAGTGGTATTTTCCTGGAAAAGTTTAGGTATTTGATCCAATTGTAAGTGAGCATTCGATTTGTATGTTCGGGACTAAGGCAAATCCAAATTGACATCTAGATCTGGATGGACCCACAGATCCAGGACTTGAATAAAGTCCAGAAACAAGCTTGGATCCGAGATCATACCGGGTTTTCACCTGAGAAGGCATTCGTCCAGATGCGGAGATATCTTGGGGAGGGGGCACCAGCCCATACATACATGGAGGTTTTGCGGGGCCTGCAGATCCAATTGGGATGGTTTATCCCTATGAATTATGAGATAAAGCATCTACCAACGGGTGCAGAGTGAATGCTGTTGTCCATCACCACAAGGAAAACCGCCGAAATGAGTCAGCCTTTCTTGGTTGGGACCCACCATATTTACCCTTAAAATGGCAGCGGTTTCCTTTTGGCTTCCCTTTAAAGCCAACAAACAAGGGGTGTCCACCCAAAAAAAACAGACCCATATGTAGCTTCCCGTCTTTGAGTTGACCCATTTCGCTCAACAGCAACCCTGCTTCGTTTGGCATGCCAAATGGGGGTGCCCGTGAGCCTTGCCCACTTTTGTGTTGAGGGCTGATTGCACTCTGCGCTGCGCCTTGTCCTATAGAATGTGTCTGCACTTGGAGTTTGTGTGTTTTGCGCAGAGCTTCGGAGGACTATGTCCATCTTGTCTGTTGCCCCCTGTTGGTTGTCCACACCTTCGAGACTCTAGAATTGTGTTCCCCGCTTTGGAGGATGCTCTGTACAGCTTGCAGTGCCTTGTCGTTGGGTACTGTCTGAGGTAAGGACCTTTTTCTCTCCCGCCCAGGGTTTTTTCTCGCTCGAAGTAGGGCCAGTAGGGTTTATCCTTGGTGCACTCTGGTCTCTGGCGAACATCACCGGGGGGTCGTCTGCACCACGCTCGCCCCCCTTCAGGCTGGTTTTCCACAGCGGAAGACTCAAGTCTTGGCTTGCCGTTTGAACTCCTTGACTTTGCGATCCCTACGCAAATTCGATTGACCCCCCCCCCCCCCCGGCTTCCCCCGACGGAGTTTCAGCGGCGAAGACACACCGATCTTCGGGCTCATGAAGGTCTATGAGAACCCACGAACATAGGTGTTCTTTTTGGTTATTGTGGTAGAACACAGATGGCGATTCCTGGTGGACCTGATTTCAGAATGCAAAAGGACACCTATACTCACTAAAATTCACAAAGGAACCATTTTCGCCATGTGGAGAAGCAAGTTGAGCCATGGTCAGTATAGTCAGTTTGTGGTTTTCCACATGGTCCACATGTCTAATTGCCAGAGTTAGGTGTTGAACTTTGTTTTTATCTTCTTTGTTTTATATCAAGTTTTCCCCAGTTGGAAGTTTGGATTGGTGCTTTGGATTTGGACTTGAAGCCCTGGTTCTTGAGGTTAAAGGGGAACCCCCTTGCCCTCGAAACCACCAAGAGGGAGGCTGCAAGCGGGTTCCCAGAGTTCGAGAAGCCTTTCCCCTGAAGCATCGAAGCAGCTGACTGGAACCATTCCAGCTTTTGCCAGCAAGTGAACATGGTGGTTCCCAGCCATCCGGTTCCTTGGGTTTCTCGTGGTTTTTCGTTGGTTTAGTGCTGGTGTCCACTAAGCCTACAGCGTCACTGTTAGCGCATCGGCTCGGATCGGATCGGGGAACCGCAGGCAGGAGGCTGAGGAGCGGGAGGCAGCCTTTGGGCAGAACCAGCAGCGGCTTCAGGCGCGGCCTGCAACCCAAGTGGTCTCCGAATATGTGGGGGTTGATCAAAAGGTCAACAGAAACAGGAAAACTGACCAATGGTTGGAAAACCGCCAAACAGATGATATGCCGATATACCCCACATGTGAAAGTTACCCATGGTCGTTTGGGGGTCAGAATATTGATCACCCCCCATGTTTATACATATGTATATATATATATAATATGTATACATATATACATACTATGGATGGCCGCGAAATCTGTTCGCACCACTTACAAGCCATGGTTGAAACCATAACGTTGGTTGGTATTTTCAGGGGAGTCATCAGAAACCAGGGTTTCTTAGGCGGTGCAATATTTACATAATATGCATAAGTTGTACGAGCTCACCGATCAGGGGGCAAAACGAGCTCACCATGGCAAAGATCCTTTACTTGGGGATCCCTTATTTTAGGCTTTGGACATATTGTAAGTTTTGCAGATATACTATGTATACATATGTACATATACACAGATATTATATATATATATATGTAAATATGTATATATACGGTCGCGTATGGGGTTCCGAACAATTTGCAATACTGATCTAGAGCCATGGGGTGCCATAGGAAGGTCTATGCCGCTTAAGCCTTTGTAGACCCTAATAGCCACTATTAGGCTGCCATGGCTTCCCTTGCCATGGCTCCGAATCAGTGAATGACTCGCTCAGGTTGTGAATGACAGTTCTTGCTATCCAGTGCAGATTGATTAGGCGGACTCAAGTCCCCACCGAGCCCCATCAGGAGACAAACTTTGACCCAAGGCAGTTCGACTCAGACGGCAGCACCCTTTTGATCACAGTCTCTCGGCTTTTAACGAGGACACTCCTGAACAGTGGTTCTTGGACCTAAACTAAGAATCTCCCAACATCATGTCCACCGGAGAGCTCAATCCCGGAGTTTTTCCTCCACGTGATTTTCCAACGCCCCCCCCCCCTAAAATGGGGGGAGGACCTGCCTTTTCTTGCTGGTGCGATCAGTAGGGAAGAAATGGAATATACTACCCATCCTGGTTCCTGGTGGTGTCCTTTCAGGCTTCAAGGGAATCCCAAGACCCGTTCATTCCCAATCTCCCTGTTCATTCCATTTGTGGATGGGATCAATTCTGAAATCTCCCTGTTTCCAATCAACCAATCACCAGTCCCTGGGTTCCTTCCATTTCCTTTTAAAACGCCAACTTTTTTTGGGGGGGGCCGACTCCTTAAAGATGAAACCCTACCGGTAGAGAGAGGGGAGCGCCGTGCCTTGTTGGACTTCGCTTCTCCGCTGTCGGTGGAGGCGGAGCGCCAGCAGTCGGAGAAGGCTCAGGCGGCGGAGCGGGAGCGCCAGGCGCTCCAGGCGCGGGGAGTCGAGCAGTCGGGCCGAGCCGTCGGGGCCGAAGGCGTCGGGCGGTGGGGAACCGGAGGCTTCGGTACTTGGGGCTTTTTGAGTGTGTTAGGTTTGTCTTGAGCAGTGTTTAGTGGTTGTTTTTTTTTTGGTTTCTAGTTTAGTGGGTTTTAGTGGTTTTGGGTTTCGTGGGGTTGCCTAAATTTAGGACCCTAAAAGTGAGTCACTTTTTGCAGATCTGAAAGCTGACAGCGCAGCTTACCACCGGGTAACTTAGGTCACTAGCCACATACTAAAAAGGCCGAACTGTGACCCCTCCATGACAGTTGGACGGTGATGCAGTGAGATCATTTGGTTCACCCCCCAAGCAACCGGGGTGGAACGGCCCATATGAATTGGAACGACCTTGAGGATCCGGGCTCATGATCACCTCTTGGGGCGCTTCCTTTGAAAGACTTCGGCCCCTCTGGGGCCTCGATCGCTTCAGGGATCCCTTTGGGGTGCTGATCCATTGGGGTTTCAAAAAGTAACTCCCTTCTTTTTTGAAATCCGTTTTAGTGATGACCTATTTGAGTGATTTGAGTGGTGAACAAAGGGTTTGGTTACTTTGTTGGGGGGCCACTCCACTCGAGGGGAAGTGAGACTATTTCATGAACGAAATCCTTCCATTCATCCATTCCAACTGCTGGATTTGGAAGCTGACTGAAACGACGACTTGGATGGTTCAGTTTCGGGTCATTCCAACTCCCCTCACTCGGAGAGGAGTTGGACTCAAACTACTTTGTGGGAATTTGAACAACAGTGGCAAACGCGCGCACACCCACACACCCTATGGATTCATGTATCTCTGGATAACCGAGGGAATGGCCCTTTAAAACTAAAAGGACAATGGCTATTTTTGTTAGGGCGGGGCACCGAAGCGGGCAAAAAAAGGGCATGTTTTTGACACCCCCCCCCCGTCATATCCACTCGACCGGAACTGAGGCGGAGAAGCGTCGTCAGATGCTCACAGACCTGGAGAGGAAGCGGGAGGCGCGGCCCTCGGCCGGCTCGGCAAACGCGGCGGGTTCACGCGCAAAGCTGCAGCTGTGTTCCGTAGTCTTGTCCTTTTGGGTTGGTTTAAACATGAGGTTGTAGGCCAGTTTAAGGTGGGTTGCTCCCCTTCAAAACAACAACCAAACGAAGAGGTGCCTTCCTTCCCATTCAGAGGGTCCCTTGAAGCGTACAAAAGCAAAATACTTCCAGGAAATCAGGCCTGGCCCTGGCTGACTAGTCGACATAGACCCCAAAACGAGGTTCCGCTGACACGAGGCCGGAGGTCGGGAGGTTAGCAGCCGTCCCAAATCGAGGTGATACCAAGAACAATGCTTGGCAAGGTTGTTTTTAAAGATGATCCCAGTGGGCCAAGGAAACGCTGTGGGAAGCAGCTACTTCGCTTGGTTGCGCTCCGTTTTTCCGGCTCTTGTTGGATCCCCCTTTTTGGACATCGGGGTGTGTCTCAATAGGGCTATGGCTGGGGGGCACCTTGATACTGTAGTTTCCCTTTAAAACGACCGCTTTTTAAGGGTACCCGCACAAAAAAAGAGACACGCGCCACCCATTGCAAAGCGCGACTTTGGTGGGATCTCCGTTCGATTTGGTCTCGTCCAAGGTGCGTCGTGGATACGCGTCACGTCCCAATTCCCCCCCCCCCCCCCGAAACTTGAGGCGGAGCAGAAGGAGCTGCAGGACAAAAGGCAGGGCTTGAGTCGGAGCCGGCCTTCTGATTTAAGGGCCCAACCTACGTCGGGTCTTACACCCTTCCCATTGTGGGTGGACGGAAATCATTTCGCAATAGTTTGGTACCCACCGACTGCTTGGAGAAGTGCACAGACCCCTGTAGAAAGACGACTTTGCTCTTGGACAGGGGCTTTGTGCACTTCCATGTCAGTTGCTGGGAGTGTAAGTGGTTCTGAAATTCATGCGGTTCCATTGAGTCCATCCACCCGGAGGGCACTTAGATCTCTTGGCACACGCCGGGTCCTTATCTGTTGTTTCATTGGCAGGATCAAACATTGGAGTTTCATTGTTTTCAACTTGAGAGGAACCCCTTCCAAGTTGGTTCACTTAGACCTGCCCGATCTCGAATGTGGCGACCCGATTGTTCGGTCAAGTCGCTTCGTGAGCTTCGGAAAGCTGGCTAGCCCAAGAGTCTTTTGGCAGGGTTGGATAAGTTCTGCTTAAACACAAATCCTGATTTTAAAGCAAGCAAAAGCATACAAGAAGCAAGACCATGGCCCCTTTACAGGGTGGCCCCCTTTACAGGGAAGCCCAACAGAGGCTGTTTGAACGATAAGAGCATGCATTAACAACAACCATGGCCTTTGCACCCAACGATGCCAGGGTCAGGCAATACGAGTCTGAGCAGGCACGTCTGGTGCGGTTTTGGGGGCTGACTGGTGCTGAAGTATTAAACTGAGTGGCTTAAACTCCTTCCTAAGACCTGTGGCAGATAGGGGTTGCTCTTGTTGTAGTGCTCCACTACAGAATGCGAATTTGGCAAACCAAAATCCCCAACCCATTTTGAACACCCCAATTAGACGAATCAACTAATCCGCCGGGTCTGCAAAATCCGGGCCAGCATGTGGTTCAGGGAACTCATGGTTTTGCCATGACCCTGCGCCCAATCATGGAAGCTGACGATCGGAAGGTGTTGGAAGACTGTTGGGGAACCGCTCTGTCTAGTTCCATGTGGAAAGAGGGTTTTCGCACACGCGTTGTCACTAGTTGATGGAAGCCCGTTGGTTAGGGATCATGTTTCAGGAAAGAGGAGACCAACCTGTGCGGCTCCTACGATCAGTGATTGATACCTTCGCATCGTCGAACAGCACGCCTGCTGGTATTCTCTCAGAGAAATGTGTCTGCCTTTTCTGGAGTTGGTACACCCCTCATGTGGTGGTTTCAAAGGAAAGGAACACCATCATTTTGGAAGGGGGGTCCCTACAACAAGAAACATCTCAATGGAGCCACGAATCCAAAGAAGGCGACACCCAAGCTACTTGACCCGTCACGGGTTACTTGAGTTCACCCCCCCGCCGCGCGAATTTTCCAAAGCTGACGACTCCGAGGGAGTCAGCAAATAACAAGGACACTTGCCTCCAGACGACTCCAAGAGAGTTCTCAAGTAAAAAGGCCATTTGCCTCCTCCAAGTCTTAATGTTGTTTTCTGGTTGCCTACTATTAGGGTAGCTGGCTTGACTTGGTATTCGTATACACGCCTTTTAGTTGATTCATGGGTTTAGCCCCTTTTGGGCGGATGCATTGGTTTGGAAGTCTACGGAGTTGGGACAGTTTTGCCTCCAAATCCTTGTGGATTCTGGTCCTTGTCTACTCGGGGCTTCATGGAGAAGGCGTGGTTGCTTCAGGTTGTAGCACTGCAGGTGGATCCACAGTTGTGCTGTGGATCGGCGGTTCTCCCATTCCTTACGTTCAGAGTTAAAGGTCCAGCAGATTGACGGAATCCTTCTCCCTGGGTGGGTGGGCTTGCCTCTCCGAAAGGAAGCGGGTCACTTGCTTGTCCGCGGGGGCGAACTAAGCTGAGACGCGCATGTCTGAGTAGATGCCCTTGGCCTGGCTCTCCCTGAACCACTCCCGCAAGCCCAATTTCCCACAAGACACTAACCCTGGAGACAGTCCCACCAGAAATGGATGCGGCCGCCCGTGTGTTTCTTTACATTTTCATACCAAGTTTGATTGTGACTCATCATTGCTCGTTCTCAGCCACCAAGGAAGGGAACGAACCTGTCGACGCTGGTTCAGCTCAGGGTTTCAACTTCCCGGAATCTCAGAAGAAAGTGCCAGGGTTTCCTTCTGCGGTGAGTTTCAATTTCAATAGAAATACCAGGGGGAATGTCAAGGCCTTCAAACATGGCTCCACCTCAAAATTGGTTGGACATGAATCCAGCAAAGTGGTTGGATATGAATCCCCGGCGAATTCTGCGGCCCATTTTGGGGTCCCTAGCTCCATGAACCCCCCAAGGCCTTCACGCCTCACCGCCTTCGTGGGTTGTCGGTTCTTCCCCCAGGCGCGTGACCAGGCGGCGCGCTCCGAGCAGCCGGGGGCCCGGCAGAATTGGCTGACTCCAAACGGGTGTCCCCCGTTCAACAGAAATCCTTCGCTGCGAGGCCCCGCGAAAAACGGCATTGAAAAGGAAACGGCCGGAGCCAGGCTTGTTCAGGCCCCATTCGAGACCCAGAAGTTCAACGGGAGTCATTCAATGCATTCAATGGGCCCAATCTGTTGGTTGGCATAAGGGGAACAAGCGGACCGAGAATTTCAACCGATTGCAAACCTAGCCCCCCCTCAAGTCGCACAGGTTTTAGTGTTTTTTTCAGGAACCTTGCTTGCCGGACCAACATGAGAATGCTGTGTGTTTTTGAGGCGAGGAGTCCCTTCTAAACCTTGCATGTTTCTGCACAAGGTTCAATCAGCTTTCTCTTTACGTGGTGCTGGCTTGGTTTAAGGGAAACTGGGCGACACCCGACCCCGCTGGTCGTTTGCAGGGGCCCGTATATGTTGGGGCACTAGCAACTATTTCCTATATACAAGAGACGTTACGTATATATTGATGGTATTCACCACTAAGAGCAAGCTAGGTGTTGGTTTGTTGTCTAACAGGAGCTTGCACTTCATCGGCTGTTTGGGTTGGAGGTTGGGTGCGCTGGAAGGCATAGACATCTTGGGCCAGAGCGATGCCACAATCGTCAAGAGAGTACAAAAGAGCATCAACCAAGGAACCGCATCCACACAGCTTTCTGCCGGGGTCAAAACGGGCCTCAGGTGCCCAACCACATTGGGTTTGCCACCGATTTGACAGAAGGGTCCTTGTAAAGGTGCCCTAAAGGTGCGTTCAACGTGATGGGTAAAGGTATTGAGGGCATCCATACGTTCGTCACTCGAAGACTTTGGGATGTTCTTTGTCAGATGAGTGACTTTGGAGTTCACCTGCGACATGGGATGTACTGTACCCTCCAATCTTAGGATCGAAGCCTCTTTCCCCAAAAGACCGATCCGAACTTCTCGTCTTAAGACTTTCAAGGAGGCTGCCTTGAGTCAAGCTCCCCTCAGGATTTGAACCCCTGGTTCTCGTTGAGTGTAAATGGGAAGCTACCCACGCACTCAACCACGGACCAGGAAGCTTGAGGTCTTCCAGAGGAAACCCAGGGCCCGAAAGCTGGACCGCAATCCAAAGCCGGGTAGATGAAGGCTAGTAAGGGACAGTCCCAGCCAGAAACAGCTGCGGCCGCCTTTCCATTTCCTTACACGGTTCTGTGTCAACCATCTTAATACCGGGTTTTCATTGCGATTGAGAGCCCATCTGTCTATTGAAGCCATCCCCCAAGCATCCGCCAGCAGCATCCCCCACATCATCCCCCTTGTGAAACAGGTGGCTTCGCCCTTGCCGCGTTTGCCGAACGTTTTCGGCCAGGGCGAAGCAGCAGCAGCAGCAGGAGGAGCGCCGAAGGCAGCGGGAGGAGAAGCTGCAGAAGCTGCAGGAGGCGCGGAACCCGCGCGTCCGGGTGTGTTTTGGGTGTGGGGAGGTGGGGGGCTTTCCCTTGAAACTCGACCAAGACAGCATGTTTTGTGTTTTTTTGTTTTTAGATTGGTCTGGGAGGTTGGATTTGAAGGTCAAGCGCCAGAAATCAGAAAGGGGTTGCCCTTTTTCTGAGCCGGAGGTCTGGAGGCAGCCATAGTGCGGGCGGCGACCTTCGGAACCCCTTCGGACAAGCGTCGGTTCCTTTTGTTTTTGTTTTGCTCCTGAGTGGGGTGAACCGGCCTTGGGTTTGACGTATGCTGTGCCACTTGTTTCAACAACCTTTTTTTTTTGCGAATGAGAAGTGGCCGTGGTCCGTTTGTTAAGCCCCGTGCCACTTTGCCCTGCAAAATACAACGAAGTCTCGATCACGAAACACATTTCGATGAAGTTGTGTTTCAACCGACCGGGGACATGTTTGAAAGTGGAGAATATGTCTCAGCTTTGTTTGGAATGGAGGGGCAAGGAAAAACCCGAAACCTGCTCCTTCCAACTGGATCAGCAGCTACTCGTGGCTGTCAAATGACTCAATCAGCAAGGAAGCCTCCGCCCTCAACGTCCCCGTGGACATCAGCCAAATGGTTTCACCCACCCAAAGCCAGAAATAGGAAGGGTCAAGAGAGGGCAACCGGCCCTTTGGTGCCAATGTCGAATTGCCCGGATTAAAAAGGCCAAACAAAGAAGTCCAGGTGGTATCCCCAGGGACGGAAGCGGCAAAGAGCACCACTCCGGAGCCTGGTTCAAACATGATTAGCCACATTCAGGTTGGTTAGCAACGTTTGGGTTCCCCTTCAGGGCCTGGTTGTTTTTAACATCTGGGTTTGTCTTTTTGTAGGGGTTCCCAAATATTGGGCGATGTTCCTTTTGGTTTGTCTGTAAAGCAGCCAAAAACGGCCCCCCAAAAAACGAGACTCCCCATTTTGCCCAGCCCTGGTTTCGGGGCTCGAGTTTTGCCAGCGAGGCCCAGCGAGAGCAAGAGGAGCGGCGGACAGCCAGGCGCGGGAGGAACTTGTGTTGTTTTTTAAGAGGGACCCTGCAAAATGGTAGTTTTCGTTTTGGTTTCCCTTTAAACGCCAGCTACCTCAAAAAGACACCCGTTCGTTGCAATTAACATGGAGGAGCGTCCAAATTTTAGTGTATGTTCCCGAGATCGCTCTCAGGGAGCGACAACTTCGCTGTGATTTTATGAGCTCTGCGCAACCCTGTCTAAGTATCCTTGCATGCCTCTCAAATTCACCTTATTTCTCCTTTTCTATGCATATATAAAGACATGTACTTACCCCTTATGCACCCCTTACCCCTCATATACTCTTCAAATACCTCTTTCATACCTCGCACATACCTGATATCTATATATATATATACACCTCTTATATATATATATGTATATACGGCTGAAATACCTCTTTGCCTCTTACTCATCCCACATGCCGCCGAACATCTCTCCCCCAACGCCGGCCGCTCGGCGGGACCGAAGGCTGGAGGAGAAGCAGCGGCTGCAGCAGCAGCTCACCGGAGCCTTCACGGCGCGGCAGCGCAGCAACATGGACAAGGCGCAACCCACGGACTTTGGTGTCCATTGGTCTGGGCTTCTTTTTTTGGCGCCGTTTCTAGGGGTTTGAAACAATGGTCAGAAAATGGGGGCTGTTTCCCTTTGACCCGTCACTTAGGAGACTTAGGAGGTGACTTTGATCATGATGAAGTAATGAGGCCAGTTGGTTGGAACAGGTGGGTGTGTCTTAAAGGAGACGGAACCCCCGTTTGGAAAATGTGCCTTACAGATGCAAAATTGGACCTGCTGTGGGAAAAATGGTCCCTTTGTCCCTTTAAAGCATAAGGCGAGAGCCCCAAGGGTGCTTGTCTATGATGAACCAATCTGGGTGTTTCTCTATTGGTTGTTGTTCGCTACAACACCTCCAGATTGCTGGTTCTTCCCGATTTGTCGGACACGCGACTCTTGCGCTGCTTTCGGAAGAAGGGATTTTGATGCGATAAGGTTGGGCAGTGGATTTGGTCTGCCTATTTATGGTGAGCTCACCTGGGGGTATAACGAGCTCACCATGATAAAGGGTCTTTACTGGGGCGTCCCTGAATTCAGCTTTTGGAATTAAAGCAAAACTTGCAGATTCGGTTTCTTCAAGTTGATGAGCCTGTTCCTTTGTCTCACTCACCATTGGGCACAGAATTACGATTGATATACTTATAGTCTTGCCTGAAATTGGTTTGAAATTACTCTGGAAATCCATTTCAATTATTTAGGCCCTTGTAGTAGGCCCCAGGGTGAGCTGTTCTTGGGGTAATCACTTCCCCCTTACAATAAAGGTCCCCTTGATACTAAGAGATGTTTCTCCAAACCAGATTTGGCGAAACTAAACCATCCTTCTACTGCCAGCATGGTGGCCAGGTCCCACCCTCGTATTCGGCCCCCTGAAGCCATGTCCGAAGCAAGTCCAAGACCAAAAAGCAAACCAAGTGCATCATTGATCTTGCTTAAATCCCTTCGACATGCATTCTGTCTCTTTGTTTCTCCTTTTGGTGGACCTCCGCTACAAACCACAAAGGTCGCCCAGTTCTGGACTCCCAAAGAATAAGAACAATTTTCCTGCAGGGACTGTGTTTTTTGCTTATGGGCGGCGTTTCATTATTGCGGGAGGGGGGGGGACGAGCTGACTTCTACTTGGGGAACAGAAATCACCGGGCCGAAAGTCCAATGTAACTAAGGGCGCCAGGATTTTCGAGGAAGCCCACCACATGTTTTTCGGGGGAGTTCTGTTTGAAGACGCACCCAGTGCCATGTTAACACACAGATCTGGGCAAAGATCGCAACTTCACGTAAAATGCCCCACCTCAATGAAGATGGCTCCTTTTTTGGATTTATTCTAAGTCAGCGATTGCAACCGACTCTGTTGCCATGCAGAATTTCTGCCGATAGCACAGGCATGTTCTAGCAGTTCTCCAATACAAAACGGGTCTGGAGCCAAAGGTGCCCACATTTTAAGGGAACGCGATGTTTCCGTTTTTTTCCGACCCTCCCGTGGATGTGTTTGTGTCAGTTTTTTTCATGCCACCCTTCCCACCAACCATACCTGGTGCTCCACCAGTGAGTTCCAAAGTGCATTGAAGGGCGCAGTGTGGATGGCACGACATAGCCCATTTCACCGATCCCATTTCACCGATCTCGCCATAAAATGGGCAGCATTCCTAGCCGAAACGGCGGTGGCCCTTTGAGGCTTCGGACACACGGCTCCACGGAAAGTGTCCAAATCAAGTCAAGCTGATAGTGAACATGTATGAGGGTGGGGTCGGAAAGGGAGCCAGTAAAAGAAGAGAAACTAACATAGTGAGGGTTATAGAGAAAGCGTTTGATTTGGCACCCCCTATTTCCAACAAAAGCCCATAGAGTTAGGGGAAGCGCAAATTACAAGACCCTGGCTAAGCCTGTGAGTTTTTCGCCAGCGCCATTTGCCTGTGTCAACTCTTTTCCGTGTTTTCGGATTTCTTTTGCACTGGCGCATTTTTTGCTGAAGCGGAAGCGAGAGTCAAGACCCTCGTTGAGGCCAGCTTCTGCAAATCATTATTATTGGAAGGCGGAGACTGGATACATCAAGAACTGAGGACCTCCAAACAGCCGGCGTGCGGAAAACGACAGAACTCCCTCTTGGACGTGGGCGCGCCTTTCTTTGAGTTGCCCTTTCTTGGGGTGGTTTGAAGCGGAATTCAAAGGGAAACTCACTGTACGCAAACAAAAGGCAAGCATGGCACCTGAAAAAAGAACCCCCTTCCGCTAGCTAACCCTCTCTCAGGTTTTCGAATTCTAACTGCAGATGCTCCGGCTTCTGTGCGTCAGATGCATAGCCTCCACAAGGAGCTGGAGGCAAAGCGTTTGGAGGCGCGGGTGGCGGTTTGTTAGATCTGAGATTTGTTGGCGAGGGTTCCGCTAGCACAACCTTCTGGGGCAGATGGGATAAGTGCATGTTCCTGACGCAGAGGTGTTTGAGTGGCTATTCGGGTGCTCTTCACAACACGGAGACATGTTAAATTCGCCGAAAAAGACGGCCAAGAAAGGTTAGGTAAGTTGTGTTTGTTTCCAGACCCTGTTGCACACTCAGGTTGGAACGGGGTTCCTTGCCGTGCTGAACCGAATTTAATCAACCTGGTGGATATACAAAGGGTCAAGGTGAACGCTAAGTGAGGACGAGAACGCCCATCTTTGGGGACTCAGGGTTTCGTCCATCCACAGTTCTCTTATTGAGCTTATTCCTCAGACCTCCCATTTCCCGCATAGGCCAGAGTCAGCTCTGACCAGATGAAGGAGCGACAGTTCAATCGACGCCGAGGGAAACGCAGGCAGTCGAGGGCTTCTCGGACTTGTTTGGCAAGCATTGACAACTTTTGGGGAATTCTGAGTTGCGCAAACGGCGTGGACTGCATCGTGTTCAATGGAATGCATAGATGGCACTCGAGTTTTCGCTTGGATCTTTGCATGTACCAGTGCCCATCTAATTTTCCACAGAGAAGCTTAGGCGCATCATCATCATCATCATCATCATCATCATCATCATCATCATCATCATCATCATCATCATCATCATTGAAGGGCGGATCTGCTTTTCGGACATGTGTTGCCGTGGCGCATTCCAACATGACGAGCCCTGCCTGCCTCATTTGCTGTTCTTTCCTCCCGTGTTGTTTGGTGTTCAAGTAGAATCCAACATAGCACCCAACAGGAAATCCCTTTAAGAGCAAATGTGGACATGTTTGTCCTTGTATCATTTGGTCAGAGAGGGCTCTTGACCAAAGTGGACACACCGGACGGGTGCCATTTTGGCAAAAATTGATAAACTTCCCACCCACCCAAGCCTTGCGCGAGCCGCCAACGGCCTTCTCGTTTCGGGGCTGCGACAGACCTAGACCTTCGGTGTCCTGACTGAGAAGAGGAGACGAGAAGAGGAGAAGAGAAGCGGAGACGAGGAGAGATGAGGAGAAGAGACGAGGAACAAGGAGGAGAAGCGAAGCGGAGAAGAGAAGACAAGAAAGGAGAGACGAGGAGGAGAGAGGAGGGGAGAGGAGAGGAGACGAGGGATGCGGAGGGGAAAAGATGGGAGAAGAGAGAGAAGTGGGGAGAAGAAGGAAGAAGAGGGGAGATGGATGAAAAAGAGGGGAGAAGGGAGGGGAGAGGAGCGGAGAAGAGGGATGCAGAGGGGAAAAGATGGGAGAAGAGAGAGAAGCGGGGAAGAAGGAAGAAGAGGGGAGATGGATGAAAAAGAGGGGAGAAGAGAGGGAAGAGGCGAAGAGGCGAAGAGCCGAACAGAACATGTCTGATTGGGCGTGCGACGCGCGAGGGCGCATGGGTGTGTTTGTGTGTTTGTGTGTCTGTGTGTCTGTGTGTCTGTGTGTCTGTGTGTCTGTGTGTGTCTGTGTCTGTGTCTGTCTGTCTGTGTCTGTGTGCTGCGTCTGCGTCTGCGTCTGTCTGCGTCTGCGTCTGCGTCTGCGTCTGCGTCTGCGTCTGTCGTCTGCGTCTGCGTCTGCGTCTGCGTCTGCGTCTGCGTCTGCGTCTGCGTCTGCGTCTGCGTCTGCGTCTGCGTCTGCGTCTGCGTCTGTGTCTGTGTCTGTGTCTGTGTCTGTTTCTGTGTCTGTGTCTGTGTCTGTGTCTGTATCTGCGTTCGCGTCTGTGTCCGTGTCCGTGTCTGTGTCTGTGTCTGTGCGTTTCGATGCGTTTCTGTGCGTGTCTGTGCGTGTCTGTGAGTGTCTGTGCGTGTCTGCGCGCGTCTGGGCGCGTCTGCGCGTGTCTGTGCGTGTTTGTGCGTGTCTGTGCGTGTTTGTGCGTGTCTGTGCGTGTCTGTGCGTGTCTCTAGGTGTCTGCGCGTGTCTGTGCGTGTCTGTGCGCGTCTGTGCGTGTCTGCGCGTGCCTGTGTGCCTCTGTGCGTGTCCCCGCGTGTCTGCGCGTGTCTGTGCTGTCTCTGTGTGTCTGTGCTTGTTGTGCTCAGCGTCAGCAGTTTGTCTCTGCGAGCATTTTTTGTCCTTGTTCTTGCACAAACGCTGTCCGGGCATGTTGCGATTGCAGCTTTATGAAAGCCTACAGCCGCATCCACCGGGCCCCGGCCTCATTCGACTTGAACAAGCCCACGTGTTTGCCAGCCTGCGCGAGACCGCAATGACGGTGGTCGGGGCAATGATGTTGGCTGCGCTGGCTGGAGTCACTCAACGCACGTCGGGGTAAACTCCCGCGCGCTGTGTGTAAGACACAGGCTGATGGGGCACGGCGCGGTCGGGCCATCCGCCGGGACTCCTTACGGGGAGACCAAACGACTTGAGATAGTCTCACTGCAAACCGCTGTCGTAGGTGAGGTCGCAGCGCGAGCCGCGCTTCGCACGAGAGCTGAAACAAGCCCGTTTACCGAAGTGGCCGACACAATGGGTTGATGAGTGTCAAGGATTTGGCGCAGGTGGTGTTTAAGTTCGGCTCATTGCCGAAAGGTAAGCAAGCTTGCGCTTGCAGACGAGTTGTTCAAACCCTGCTTGGTCCCCTATTCCTGGGTGCTTGCCCCCTTTGTTGACACCGCTAGAATTGCAACTAACTAGTAAGGGAATTTGCATATAGTGTTGTTCCTTGCCGGGGCTTTCTGGACATAGGCTCCAACGTCGAAGTTTGAACTTGCATGGCTTACCTGTCTCGCTAGCGACGTGGCGGTTGGCCCGGTTGAGTGCAGGACGTGCGTTTTATGTGGGCACTTGCTCTGTATTTCTACTCGAGAGTGAGCAGTGTTCACTGGTGCCATGGCTGCTAAGGAACGGGAGCCTCGTTTTGCGAAGAGGCGAAGAGACCAAGCAAAGGGAAAGGGAAACAGCTGGAGCAAGACGAAGGCGACTGGGCAAGAGAAAGAGAAAGACAACGAGACAGAGAGAAAGCAGCAGGTAGCGAGAGGGAGCGACGGAGAGAGGGAGAGGAAGAGGAAACAGACACATGGAGACGTGTTTTGCTGGCAGGCAATCCCGTTCGCCGAGTTGGGCGCAGGACGCGTGCGAGCAATCTACAACTGCGATGACTGACGCTCGCTGCAATCGCAAAATGCCCTGACAGGGTTTGTGTAAAAACCAAGACGTTTGTAAAAGTACTCCGCTCACGCCTGGCACAAAAGCACACACGCGGCGTTGCAGACATGTTTGGCATTTCTCTTGCTGAGATGGGATTTTAATTCCTTGCCGCGGCTTTTGGACATAGGCTTCGGTGAAGTTGCATGAGGTCCCAAACCTGTCTTGCCAGTCAAGTGACGTTTGGCTTTCTTATGCTCGAGCGTGTGCCTGGTTTGGTGGCAGCGTGGCTGCTGATGAGTTGGGGCTTTGTTTAGTGGTTTCGTGAACTGGACGTAGCTGGTGCGCGCTTGGCCCTTTCCTCGGAAGTGTTGGCGGGCTGCGACGCTCCGGGGGAGCTTGTGGAGCCCCGAAAAACATGGGCACGCGTGGTTGGTTGTGCTCACACAGCTTTGACTCCTGCAGTTGCTGCTGCGCGACTACAGCGCAAGCAGGGGGTTGCTCGTGCCGGGCCCCTTCTTGCGCCAGCCGCGCGCTCCTTTCGTAGGCGGAGCGGGGCGCGCTGCCCTCAGAAAACAGCTGTGGCTTTATTGTGCTGATGCGGTCTCCGCGCCGTTAACGGCTGTGGCAGCAAAGTATGCAAGCTCAAGGCGATCTTGCGCAGACCGCCGAGAAGGTGAAGTGGTCGTGGAGGCGCGTGTTTTCGTTGCCGTGTGATTCATCGCTGTCCTTGCAGGTCAGGAGTTGCGAGCCTGGGCTCCTTCTGTGTGAGAGCCACAGGCACGTTCCTGTAGTGTTGACCCCTGCTAAATAACACCCCCCACTTTCTACACGCGGGCAACCTGCTTAGTCGAGATTTCTTTTTTCAAGGGTCGCTGGGGGCCTAATATATTTTGAATGTTTTTGCGGCGTGCTTTTAAACTAAGCCATGCTCGCAAGAGGATCATGTATTGAATCATGTTAGCCCCTTGTGTTTCTTCCAACACATTGGACCCCGCTTGGTTTTCATACGGTAGTCGACCTCGAACTCGCCTTCTCCTTTGTTTTTCCAGGAGCGGCGCCGCTCGGAGGTGGAGCATAAGGCCCCGAAAGGTTGCGTGGGATCCTCACATTTTCCCCGAGCTCACCTGAGCAGTGCAACCCTGGGTAGATGAAGGGTAGTAAGGGACAGTCCCAGCCAGAAACAGTTGCGGCCGCCTTTGTATTTCCTTGCATGGATATGCGTGCACAATTCCAATACCGGGCTTTGATTGTGAGTCACCCGAGCAATCAATACTTGGGAAGGAGGTCGGGGAGAGTCCCGACAAGAAATAAGTGCAGATACTATGACACCCGCCTGGTGAATTCCTTTACGTGTTTTTGTGTAGACCGCTAGAGTACCAGGTCAGTTTGTTTTGAAAAGCGTGACGTGTGCAGAAGATATTGTTCGCTCGCATCCTGACCTTGAACAGATGTCATAGAAATGTTATATATATATATGTATATATGTATTTATATGTATTATACACGTATGCATATATATATATATATACTCACACCGTCAAAAGGGGTATTTGGAGTAGGGGGGCGTTCCAATTTTACTGGGGAAGCTGCCGTGACTGGTCAACTTCTGCACAAACGAGGAGCATCCGATCGGGTTCCCAAGATGTTTGCTTTCCTGAAGTGTGGTTTCAGACGCCACCGATCGGGGGCCAGGCTGAGCGAGGTTCCTTTTGGGGTGATGCTTGAGAAAGTAGATATTAGGGTGAAAGTAGATGGCGACACTCTCTTCAGGTGCAAAGTGGGTGACAAAACGAACATGGGCCCTGCACAAGCTCCCACACCGTGAACATCGCTCAATTGGAGGGGTCGTCCTTCTCTCGTTGTGAAAAAGCAAGACCTGGCTACGATTGGCCAGTTTGGTACAGCTGCCACACCCCTTGCTTGAGGGTCACAGTGAGGGCTGCAACATGATATCATTTTATCTTGTCAGCTTTGGAAGTGGCTCCATTTTAATGGGGATCGATTCATTTCAGGAAGGCTCGGTTTTTCCCGGAAGCATTGCGAAGGGTTCTTCTTCTAAAAGCGGCTGCCAACTTCACCTGCCAACTTCTCATGCCAACTTGTCGAGAGTTACTTCACCTGCCAACTTCTCATGCCAACTTGTCGAGAGTTACTTCACCTGCCAACTTCTCATGCCAACTTGTCGAGAGTTACTTCACCTGCCTACTTCTCATGTCAACTTTTTGAGAGTTACTTCACCTGCCAACTTCTCATGTCAACTTTTCGGCTGTTATCTCATTCTACTAAAAGCACAAGCTAATTTGTCGGGTGTTACTTCACTATCCTAAAAACACAAGCTAACTTTTCTGTTCTACCTTCACATCTCGACTCTTAATTCTTCTTCTTTTTATGGCGGGGGTAGGCCCGACGGGAGCTTACGAAACGCACCCCTCTGCGGAGATCGTGCGTGTCGAAGCGCTCTCGCTGTGGCGCCGTGCGAATTTGTCTTGAGCGCGGCGAACCCTCTGCGGAGATCGTGCGTGTCGAAGCGCTCTCGCTGTGGCGCCGTGCGAATTTGTCTTGACCTTGGCGAACCCTCTGCGGAGATCGTGCGTGTCGAAGCGCTCTCGCTGTGGCGCCGTGCGAATTTGTCTTGACCTTGGCGAACCCTCTGCGGAGATCGTGCGTGTCGAAGCGCTCTCGCTGTGGCGCCGTGCGAATTTGTCTTGACCTTGGCGAACCCTCTGCGGAGATCGTGCGTGTCGAAGCGCTCTCGCTGTGGCGCCGTGCGAATTTGTCTTGACCTTGGCGAACCCTCTGCGGAGATCGTGCGTGTCGAAGCGCTCTCGCTGTGGCGCCGTGCGAATTTGTCTTGAGCCCGGCGAACCCTCTGCGGAGATCGTGCGTGTCGAAGCGCTCTCGCTGTGGCGCCGTGCGCATCTGTCTTGAGCCCGATGAACCCTCTGCGGAGATCGTGCGTGTCGAAGCGCTCTCGCTGTGGCGCCGTGCGATTTTCTTGCTCGCGAAACGGCTTTTGGAAGTTGTCTCGTGGTGTGCGCGCCTGCTTTCGCAATCCCGCGGTCCCGGGTTCGATTCCCCCCTGGTCCGCGGCAGCTCCGGCTTGAAAATCGCAGCTTTTAAGTACAAACGTAGTACGCGGAGCGTGCTCCTGCAGCTCCGGCTGGAAAATCGCAACTTTTAAGTACAGACGTAGTACGCGGAGGCTGCTGCAGCTCCGGCTGGAAAATCGCACTTTTTAAGTACAGACGTAGTACGCGGAGCGTGCTCCCGCAGCTCCGGCTGGAAAATCGCAACTTTTAGATACAAATGGCTGGAAAATCGCAACTGTAAATTGCAAATGTAGCACGCGGAGCGCCTCCGCCGCTCCAGCTTTTTGAGGGTTAATTACTTCACCTGCCAGTTTCTCATGCCGAAACTTCGAGAATTACTTCACCTGCCAGCTTCTCATGCCACCTTTTCGAGAGTTACTTCACCTGCCAACTTCTCGTGCCAACTTTTCGAGGAGTTACTTCACCTGCGAGCTTATCATGCCAACTTTTCGAGAGTTACTACACCTGCGAGCTTCTCATGCCAACTTTTCGAGAATTACTTTACCTGCCAACTTCTCATGCCAACTTTTCGAGAAATACTTTACCTGCCAACCTCTCGTGGCAACTTCACCTGCCAACTTTTCGAGAATTACTTCACCTGCCAACTTCTCATGCCAACTTTTCGAGAAATACTTTATCTGCCAACCTCTCGTGGCAACTTTTCGAAAAATTACTTCACCTGCCAGCTTCTCATGCCAACTTTTCGAGAGGTACTTCACCTGCCAACATCGCCTGCCAACTTTTCGAGAGTTACTTCGCCTGCCAACTTCTCGCGCCAACTTTTCGAGAATTACTTCGCCTGCCAACTTCTCATGCTAACTTTTCGAAAGTTACTTCACCTGCCGGCTTCTCACGCCAACTTTTCGAGAGTTACTTCACGCGCCATCTTCTCGTGCCAACTTTTCGAGACTTACTTCACCTGCCAGCTTCTCACGCCAACTTTTCGAGAGTTACTTCACCTGCCAACTTCTCATGCCAACTCTTTGAGAGTTATTTCACCTGCCAACTTCTCATGCCAACTTTTCTCTTGAGTTACTTCGCCTGCCAACTTCTCATGTCAACTTTGCGAGAATTACTTCACCCGCCAACTTTGCCAGCCAACTATTCGAGAGTTACTTAACCTGCCAGCTTCTCATGCCAACTTTTTGAGAATTGCTTCGCCTGCCAACTCCTCATGCTAACTTGGCGAGAGTTACCTCACCTGCATCAACTTGCCTCTATGCTTCCGGGCCACTCGTCGTCTAGTTTGTAGGGTCCTCGCGGAAACTGCAGCTTTTGTATGCCCTCTCGCAACGGGCAGGCCCGGAGCAAGAGTGAGAAACTGGAGGGCCTCGAGAGCGACAGGCCGTGAGAATTGCGCGGTTACGTCGAGTTGCTAGGTACCTTGGCTTCCACAAGCCACTTTTCTTGCTGGGGCGATGGGCAGGGAATGAGAAATGGAATCACCCCGAGAAGCACCATCCATCCGATTCGGTTTCCTTTGTTCGGGAATCTCCAGGTTTATCCCTGATTCCCTGGGCACCCGCCCGATCGGGTCGAATGGAAGTATCCACCGATCGGGAAGCTGGGCCTAAGCATCAGGATCTCATCCCGAAAAGGCTATTTGGGGACATGCGGGGGTGACGAGCTCTAAATTTTGCGAAGCCAGACCCACTAGTTCTGCTAGGTGGTCTGGGGGAAGCAAGTAATTGTGACTGTGGCTCACTTGGGGGAGGCATCAAGCAAAGTGGATGTTCTGGAGTCTCCTAGATGGCTCATGTTGGAGGAAAACTGCTTTCTAAAATGAGAAGCCCCCCATGTTGTCCTATGTGATGCTAACGCTTCCTGGCTCAAAATGGAGGGTTGTGAGGTCCGACAAGTGAATTTGATGGGAGGGTTTCCTCCATTTCCTTTTTGGAACCTCCAAACATTGCGATCGTCTCAAAGGTGATCAACTAAAGGGAAATCCAGTTACCCCTGTACAGCGACAATACAACCACCACGGCCGCTATATGAGGTTGTATGCCCCGTTCTTTCTTGGGTCCCAGTAGCAGAGTGTAGCTGTGTTCTCCTCCTTGTTTCAACTTAACATTGTTGCGGTCATAAAGGGAAACCAAAGAAAAAACAGTTGCGCCATTTCCTCTTTCTTTCTTTTTTTTGGGGGGGTCCCCTATTAAGTCATACACACATATTTCATGTCTTTACAACCAGAGCTGGGGCAAAGTGCGGTTGGGCTTCCCCATGTAAAGCAAGCTTAAGCCGGTTTTGTTCCGGGTTTCAGGACTCATGTAAGGGGGTGGGGAACATGACTACCATCGGTTTACTCCTATCAACATTTGACGGAATCTGTGCTTCCAAAGTATCCAACCCAATTCTAAGCAAACTTGGGCCCTGGAAATGAGCTTTCCGTACACGCAGTTTGCCCACGGAGGCAGAAGCTTTGGGAGCTGCGGAAGAACGCGCACCGGGAGGCGGTGAGAAGATCTGAGAGGTAGAGACGGATCATATTTTCCCCAAGTGGTATGGTCAAGAAAAGCCTCGGGGTTAGACGGGATGGCCTTGGAAGATCAAAGGCTGCATGTATGGATGCAGATGAACCTCTGGTATAAACTCTAGCTTTCTCAATATTGTGGGGATTTTCATACACACGCACTCACACATTCTTTTCGTATGATCATGAGGTCACATTGTCGATGCCACAACCCCCATTTCATCATTTAGGCCCCAGTATGAACTCTAGCCGTTTGAATACTTGCTGAGTAGCCATGAAAAGCTATGAAAGCCTTCAGGGTTTCTATTTGATGCAATCGCCAATGGGCTCCCAAAATGGTGTCAGACCCGGAGGTCTCTTACCTACGGTTGAGTGTAGATGGGATAGCCTCCTTCTGGGTTTACTTGACAAGGAAATATTGCCATCTACTTGTGCTTGATGAGCTTTCAGGTCGCATCGCCCATGCGGCCATGGCCTGACAAGAGGCCTTGACGCTTCCCGGATTTCAGCCAGGGGAGCCACTGGGAATGACCCGTGAATGGCCACTGGTCGCTGTCCAGCTACCGCCTGGCACCTTGAAGCTTAGCTCGGGCTACGAGTCCTCTCCCTGGCAAAGCGCCCTGGCCAACCGACACGCCGTGGACATGAAGATGAAAGTAAGGAAGCCTGGCTTCACACAAGGTCTACAAAGCCATCTCAAGGCTGAGCGGGCTCGTCCACATGATCGTGATGTTTGAAACGAGGCTTGACTGACGTGCGATCAGGTATTGCCAGAATTCGAGGCGGGAGCACGGGACGCGAAAACGGCTCCGGCGCCACGTGACGCGAATGCCATGCTAAGGAAGCGTGACAGAAGGCATGGGCAGAAAGTTGCCTAGCAGTGTTGATGCCTGGCTGGGTCTGAGCTAGTGACCGCCAAAACATATGGCGCACCGCTAGATATATCACGTGGCGCCCGCCAGCATTCGCATAGCACGACCAGGCGCGTGCATTTTGCAACTCAGCACCAGTGCGGGGCTTGGGCAGCTATTGCGAGGTTGAGCCGTGGTCAGCACTCAGGAGAGGAGCGAAACGCGCCCCGCCGCCCCGCCTCCGCGCTTTGCGAGTAACTGCCATCAACCGACCCGGCATTCCCCAGTCTCTTAGCATTTCTCAGATTTTGTAGGAGGCTTGATTTGCTGTTGCCAGCAAGCTGATATGTGCGAAAAGCAATCGGTTTCAACAATTTGTCATGGGCGCAGCGCCGCTGCTTGAGATGCCCCCCACCCAAATGGTTGCTACTGTTACTGCTTCCTTGTTGTTCCTTTTGAACCGTTTCCAGAAAAGGACAAGCCAGCAAAACCCAGACCTCTAGTGCGTCTTTGAGCCTTTTCTTTTTGGGGAAAATTCCTTTGCATGGATGTTTGTGTTTGTTTCTTCCTTTTTTTTTGCCTGAAGATCGAAAAGACACCGGAAACCATTTTCGGTACCTCTATTTGGAGAAACACCACTTTATCAGCTTCCCTCTATTTGGTGAGTTTGGTTTGGTACCTTTCCCATTTGGTGTCAAAAGGAACTGGGGTTCAAATCCAAATCCAAAGCACCAATCCAAACCACTAATTTTCCGGCTTACCTGACTTGATCTACCAAAACCAGACTGCCGCGAAAACCTTTTTTTTGTTGAAGAAACCAGAAGAACGCCGGAGTCATTTTCAGTGCCTTGGAGACACACGCCCCTTCAGCTTCCCTCTTGGTAGTTTGGCTTGGTAGTTTGGACGTGGGGCGCCTTTCTCTCAAGTGATCGCAGTCACCAGAGCCGAGCTCTTCCCCATGGACCTCGTTGGCGTCAGCTGGACGTGGCGATTTCGATGCGCCAGGCCCAGAAGATTTTGCGCACCGCCAAGGCGGAGGTGCAGAAGCAGGCGGCGAGCTCCAGGCGGGTTGGGTGGGGGTGGCCTGGTGACTCGGTTTTTTCCTGTGGGTGGGGAGTAGCTTTTTTGTGGGAGGGGGAGGAGGTATTGTTTTTTTTGGGAGGGGGGGGGGGGCAGTGTTGTTTTTGTAGGGGAGGAGAAGAAGGTGGAAGCTTCGGTGGTGCCCTTTTTAGGTGAGTTTGGATCGAAACGGATGGGTTTCACTGGTTTAGATGAGTTGTATGCCCCATTTACCCGGAAAACCCATCTATTTGTCCAAAAGGTCAATTATGTGGGAGTACTATTATGTTCAGATTAGTTGGTTTGTGGATTTGAACCTCTGCTTCTTGAGCGCAGGGAAGCTAGCCCCGAACCACCAAACTTCCAATCCAGGGCACCAAGTAGGGAAGCTGAAATTTCCCCGCCAACCTGCCAACAGTGCTGTTTGCTTTTTGGAAGGAGGTTCGATCGCCGTTTTTTGGAAGGCGGTGAAAGCCATGGTTTTTGGAAGGGGGTGATAGCCAGAACAAAAATGGCCCTGAACTTCAAGAGGCTTTCTGGTCGAACCTGGCCAAGGTGGACATTCAAGCCCCATGTAAAGCGATGTTCGCTTTGGGTTTTCTTGGGAGAAGTTGTGGCCAAGTTCCGCGGAACTTGTCGAGTTCTTCCAGAGCTGTCCAGGTACAGCGTGAAGTGGTTGGAGGACCAAGTGGGGCGTTTGGAAGCAGACGCCAGGCAGGGAACATCGACAGCGGGTTCTCTGTTTTTTGGCCCTCTTGGTGGTTTTGAAGATCACCTTCAAATGGCCCAAAGGTAAGTTTCCTTTAGGGGTGATTAATTGTTAAGGGCAATTTTAGGGGAGGCCGCCATAGTGGATAGTTGTTGTTTTGGGCTACATCATAATGTCATAGTAGAAGGATGTTCTAAGGGTGTGCTTGTTTGATGGTGCCCGTTTGTGGTTTTTACAGCCCACCCAATGGGAGACTGCCCATGTGGGTTCCTCATGTCGCCACGCACCTGACCTCAAACCACCCCGGACCCCCCGCAGCCCTGGCAGAACCTGGTGGAACCCTGGTGGGACTGTCGTGGAACCTTACCTCAAACCACCCCGGACCACCCCGCAGCCCTCGCAGAACCTGGTCGAACCCATTAGTAACTCAGATTTCCAGTGGGTTGTTTTTTTCTTCTTCCCCCATTTCTCTTCAAAATCAACCAGCCAAAAAATTCGGGTGCCAGTAGTTTGCTTTGGCCACTGGAAGTCTGTATGTGTTTGGCCCATCCAGTTGCAAGCTCCGATAGTAGGTGAAGGAAGGCCACTGTGCAAAAACTCAGAGGTGTTCGGGTTGCCTCCCAGAGTGGCTTGCCTGCATCCACCGAGTCCGGGTGCCAACAGGCAATATGTCATAAGGTTTGCAACAAGCCAGAAGCGCTGATTTAAGCAGATAGCGTCGCCATCCTACAGTCCAGAGTTGGTCAGTTTGTGGCAAACGACCAGTTTCCGGCATCCGTTCGTGCAGCCGCAAATTTGCGGGCGGAGGGCTTTCCAAGTCCCCTTCACTCAGGGGGCCTCTGTGATTCATAGCTTTGCGGTTTTGGGATCTGTTTAAAAAGTTCTTTTGCATGCGGTTCGCTCCGTCATTTCCGAAATGGAGTGTCCAAAAGGGAGGACCGCCTACTGCTTGTAGGTGTCCAATCTTATTTTTTGAAAGCGCTTGCGCGTCAGTGTTTGGATTAACTGGGAAGCTTTGGATGTTAAGTGTCCAAATGGTCCCTCGCACCTCTGGCCCAGTGGGATGAGAAAGCAGACAACAACATCACTCGAAACCCGGGCCACGCTGCATGGGGTCAAGGCACCGAAACAACGACGTCGAAGCCTTACAGGTGTGCGTTTTTCAGGGTGTCTGTTTGTTTAGGGAACCCCAAGAAAGATGCTGGTTTTCTTGGTGGGTTCTCAACAAAACACAGCCCACAAGGGGAACCACCAAGAAAAGACAGACCCAGATTGATTAGCTGGGACGCTTGGTGTCCGATTTGATTCCAGCTGGTCTACCAAGCGAGTCTTCCCTTGATAAACATATAACCAGGATGTTTTGGAAGGATCGAAGATGGTGACTGGCATTCGTCTCACCAAAAAGGTTGCTTCATCGTTGGATGGCAACATTCCAGTTCAGTGGTGCCATGCAAAACCCTTCTTCTTTGGAACTCGAATTCCCAACGGTTCCCTGGCTCCTTGAGCTCAGATGCAGTCCCAATATGCCCTTCTGGGTTTGGCGTTCAGCATCTATTGGAAAGGCCGAGCTGACTTCTTCCTTCAGGTGGCGCGATATTTCAAGAGACATGTGGGTATGAATCTGAATTTGGAATCCTTTGGTGGGTGTCATTAGGAGTTATGTCCTTCCCAAACGAGCAGTGTGGAGCGTGTTCCGCATGGAATTTCCCAGCCATATTGGCTTATACTGAACCCAGCCTTGGAAAGCACCAAGAGATTGCTAAACAAATGCTAAACGAGTTGCAACCCCCATCTAAACTCCTCAATCCGCAAGATCCTTGTCTTAGCTGAATAGATTTACGAAGCTCAAAATGTAGAAGGATTCAGTGGTGTCCCTCGCGGTGTCGGAGAATCGTGCTGCCTTGGGTTTGGGCCACCGGTCCACCCCCCCCCCCCCCAAGCCCCCCTGCGTGCAGTTTGGGGGCCCTGAGCCAGAGCAGCTCGCATGCTTCCTTGCACGAGGCTGGGGCCAAACTCTGAAAAGAACTTTGCTGCTGTTGGCAGGTCTTCAGGTGTTCCGATTATTTTTGGGCTCCAAAAACAGCGTCTTTTTTGCTACCTTATGGGTTGTAAAGATAGCTTCGGATGTGTTTTACACTCACTTGCTCAAAGCCGCCCTAAAATGACCTTTTGGTTTCCCTGCTTTGATTCCACTTTTTAGTAGAGGTGCCACAAGGTTAACCTTTTATTTCTGCGTCATTTGGGCAAGTGAGAATAACACTACTGTTGGCAGGTGTTTCATGTGTTTCGCTTTTCGTGGGTTCTGTTGATTTTTACAATGTGGCTGCAAAAAGCAACGTTTTCTGCTACTATACCAAGGGTTGGAAAGATAGCTTCGGATTGATCCTTTTTGCTTTATTGGGTATTTCGGATCTTTGGACGTGGTCAAAACAGGTCGCAGTTTCCACTGGACCCGCAAAAAGCTAAGCTTGTCAACAGCAACCAAGTTTGCTTACACAGACAGAAGGCCCGAAGGAAATGTGATACAGATGCATTGTTTGCACCGCACTAGTCCGAGGAATCCATCAAAAATTAGTTACTTGCCCACGAAAAGAGGGAACGCTCCTCCGGATTCATCCAAAGTTGACATTAGTTCTTCCTGCAAGTAACATGAGACTCCCCAAGGAAGAGTCTCCGCTGCAAATGCGAGATGTTCTCTTTGGGGGCCTCTTTGAGGGTGGCTCATGTGAACGGCTGAGCTCGGTCCGTTTCGAGCTCCTCAGCTTTGTGGGGCCTTTTTTGAGGTTACCTATTTGTTCGTGTTTTTTTGGGGTGGGGGGTGGGTTAAAGGGAAACCAAAAGGGAAAATCGAAGCCATTTGGGGTCCACCAAAAGAATGACACACCCTCAAGGGACTTCAATTGCAAGGCCTGTGGCTTTCGAAGGTCGCCCGGCTATGGCCTCGCTTGCATCTTGCGCGAGGGTTCCGCGCGAGGGTTCCACAGCGGCTGAGTAGGACCGAAACTTTGCGAGTGTACCTGTCTGCCTTCCGCATCTGCAGAACCCATACGGGTGCGGTGCTGTTGGGGATATCACCTGAGCTTATTTCCTTCCTGGAACTGGTGAAACTCTCAAGGCTAGGTTAGACTTTACTTGAGGGAAAGGGGTGTCACTTGCGAGGGTTTCAGCAAGATAGAAACTCAGACCTGCGCGCACCTCGAATACTACGTCCCTTTTTGGCGCAAACCGATAGACACTTTTGCAACGCAGAACATGTCTATCTTTGATAGGGACACCCTTCCCAAATGCATCTTTGGCAAGGCGCGATGTTTCTATCTTAGCCCTGAATCCATATTGAGAGGCGGTTCCCTTTCGCTCTTGAATGATCTATTCAAGTCTGCATAGTTTATGGCAAGCTTTGGGGGAAAAGGAGCTCACCGCAAAGATCCGAAAGGGGATCCCTTTCGGAATATTAGACTCCAGCTCAAGGGACTGGATTCCTTGATTGCAGCTCCGGAGTCATCCAAAAACGAAACAGCCGACGTACCAAGCAGGTCTTGTGATAGACAATAGGAGTTTGTTAAACCAATCATGTGCAAAGGGTTGCTTGCTTTTGCCTCCAGGCAGCCCAATGGCAAACGGTTTTCCACTTGGTTGTAGAGGGGTTTCCCTTGTTCAAGGGCGCCGAAAAAATCAAAAGGCTCCCATGTTCTCTGTGGAGATCGATTGGGGCTTCTCTGGGTTTACTCAATTGACCCAAGAAATGAACCACAGAGCCTCGCACACCTTCCAGGCCTGACCCGATCATCTCACAAGGAGGCGGGGTACGGGGACGGCTACGGAGGCGCATTGTTTAATGACGCGTGCGAAGGTCCGGAGGAATTTCGCACCATACTAGCACCATTGTAAACAGACTCATGTTTGCACTAACATCAAAAACAATATCAAATAATATTGGAACTATAATATGGATAGCTAAGTCTTAAGTCAAGTAATGAGCCCTTGGAGCAATGCGTACCAGCCAATTAGCTGACTCCTTGCAGGTGTCGTTGCCTCTTGTAAAACGCATCTTTTTCTCGACTGAAGAGGGCAGGGTTGCTTCAAAAATCGTTGTTTTCCTGTCTTGGGTGTGTCTTATTGGGGAACCCAAAAGCCATCATTTTGGGGTTCCCTAATTTTGAGGACAAACCCATTTACCCCTTAGGGAGCCACGCTTCTAGCAGCGATACAGTAAATCTTGTATGATAAGCCAGGAGCGGACTTTTGTCAACCAGGGATGGGCACAAAACAAAATAGCTCATGTGAATGAGGGCTTGTTTTTGGAAGCAGAAGGGACTCCCAATGGATGTTTCCGCAGGTTCTGGGGTGGTGTTAAAATTCAACCAGAGGGTGAATAGAAATCTTCATTTGGATGAGACCATTTTCAACATGAACGGGGAGGAGTTCTAAAAGAGCTCTGGACCCGCTCCTCGCCAAACCCTTGCCTCAAGCTTTCCCGTCGGACGTCGATTCCCTTCGGACGTCGACCACTCACCCTGCGCGGAACACACCTGAATCGTCGTCAGCGGGAGTCTGGTTTACGACACCTTGATGTTACCGGCATTGTATGTGCCCGTCATCCACACGTTCGCACGGGCCGCACGATTTCAAGACTGACATTAGATGCGCTCTATGGATCAAGTACCGACCAATCCGTGGGCAGGGGGGGTTGACAGGACCTCATTTGCAGACAGTATGCTGATATTTGCCAGGGGATGCCGCCTTGCATGCAAACCATTTCAACAACTTAGCCAGGGGAATCGACCATACAACAATTGTGGTCATGATCAAGGGACATCACGAGGAAACCGCCATTTTGGGGGGTCCCACACAAAAAGCCACTCCCATACTTTCTGAGTCAGAAGGGCTTGGAGTGCGAGATCTTCGATCCGTCGGACCCAGCTTGCGCCGCGCAAAAAATCCGCAGCCGCTTTTGGAGTTTGGTGGCCGCCAAAGAGACACGACCTTTGCCAAAGTGCGGCCCGGCTGCACGGGTTTGGCAAGGGTTCCTGATACAGATGCCGGTCTCCAAATGATTTCACGTATTTAGGGTAGACTAAATATGGAGCATGTTTTTTGTTGGTGTGCCCAGAGTTGGGCTAAGATCCAGAGGTGCCTGTGTTTACGTTTTCCGGGCAAGAATCTTCTTGAAATTAACTACCAAACAACAAGGGGCGGCAACTTCCACTCCAAGTCAACCCCCCCCCCCAGACGCCGCTGATGAGGACGGGGGTCTGTTTTCCCTTGGCCAATGGAGGTCTTTGTATTATATATACATATGTATATATATATACATAGATGTTGATCCATGTTCTTTAATGGTACCCTTTTCGGGATTGTTTCAGGGACACCCCCGTTCTAAGATTCTAAGACAAGCCATACATATATATATATATGCACATGTGCAATACATACATATGTACATCGGCGTATTGATCCCGTCACCACTTGGCCACTGATTGGGTTAGCAACGGGATTGGGGACACAGAGGAACCAGTTGAAGCTAAAGAACCTCCTTTTTAAGTCAATGTTTCAAAGGCATGGCGGGTCACAGGTGTTATTTGTTGAAGGATCTCTCTGAGATGGCGATGATGACTGGGTCCTTTATAGTCACATCCTCAAAATTAGCGACCGCCGCAAAAGTAGTTTTGCTTAAGGGGTCCAGTATGTCCGAGCTTCTCCCAGAAGGCCGTTTGCCTCCGCAACCTTGAGCCGAGCCCTCGAACCTGCGACGTTTGAGGACAAGCATGGCTCCTGTGGACAAGAACTTGGACGGGAAGGCGGGCAGACGCGAACCCCCAGACTTTTCTAGCACTCGAATCTCCTGGTTTCTGGTAAAGTTGCCAAATAAACCCACGGAATCTGTGTGAGACTTTCTGGGTTGCCTTTTACCCTGCAAGCCTTGGAGAAAGTCTGACCAATCCCCGATGGTCGCAACCTGCAGGTCCCTTTTAGTGAAAAAGCCGTCAAGGGGTCGTCATTTCCCACAAAAACCCGCGCGGGGGGGGGGGAGAGGGGGAGGTTGACTCCACCCTTTGGGCTTGAAGATGTTGCATCGGCCCTCGTTGCACCAACTCATCGGCCGTATTTCTCTTGGCCCGATTTTGGGGTTTATGTAATTAGGTCCCGGGTCTGGCAACGCCAATTTCATTGGTCGGTTTTCTCTTGCGGTGATGTTGAAGGGAATAAACAAAGCGCTGTTGGCCATGCAGTGTCCAACTCTAAAACCAATCTAATCGGGCGTTCCCATCAACATTGTTTCGGGTGTCCCTCATTTCCCGCTTTGATCAGCAAAGAGTCGGATCCGTCACGCAAGACGGTTCATTCCCGCGCAGGGTTGGGCAAAGTTGGAAAGAACCAACCCCTCAGCCCTCCTCTTTGTCCTGGGTGGTTCAAGTACGTGCAGGTTGAATAGTGGCGTCTTGTGTGTGTGGCTTTTTCAAGGAAAGCCAAAACGAAGACCATAAACTTGGTTGGGTCTCAAGAAAAAGACACACCCCTAAAGGCCCAGTTTGGGAGGATTCCAAGGGCTGAGCCGAATGGCAACACATGGCGGCCGGAGGTGCCGCTCTCGCTGTGCCAAATGCTCGAGACCGAGAAGACCGCCTCGGCCGCTCGGGCGGAGTTCTCCGAGGTCCAATTCCGGAACCGCGTTCAACCCGAGGAACCGCGTTCTACTGATTGCCACAGGGATTTCTCAAAATAGTCCCCTATGGTTGGCTTCCTTCAGGCTTGTGTTTGAATACTTTAAGCAAAAGGGGTCCTCTGTTCTGCGAGACTCCCAAATTCAAATCCCGATGACAGAAATGTGTTCAGCTCTTAATCCCTTAGGGCCTTATTTGGCCTCCCTCCCCCCTCTTTCTCCCTCCAGGCGCGTAAGGACTTTGTACCCTTTGGGTTTGGACCGTTTTTGCCGTGAACAAGTTTGACTCTTTGCAGATCCACTCAGAAAGTGAGGGTTCTTTGCACCAAGCATGGCACGGCTTCTGGCACGCAATCGCAGCCGAGGCACTCAAGGCGAGCGCCGAAGATGAGGACGGATGCCTTGGGATTGGACATGCAGACTGTTGGAGGACTCGTGAAACCATATTCTTGCATGTCAATTTTTCGTAGAGCAACTGTGCCCTCACTCGAATTCACCCCCTGTTTCAACTGGACATGTTGCGTGCCGGGGATGCTGGGTGCCGCAAGAAGTTCCCCTAAACTGGGGGTACCAACGGGTAGGGTCCGCAGGGTTTTTGAACAATGGGGCACTGACCTGCTCGCATTCCCCTGAGGTCAGTGGTCTTTGACGCCTTTTGTCCAACATACTGAATGGCTTCCCCCGCCAATCTCTCTGAGATGTTTCCCCAAGGGAAATCCGGGTGTATACCCTTTACATATTTGTATTGTGGTGGTATACTCCATGTTTTTCCTTGGGGGTAGTGGTTTGGGGGTGCTGGGCATCTGAGATCTCCAAAGAAAGCCTTTGCTGGTTGGCCAAAAGTTCCCTTGGTTTGGCGGGGCGGTTTTTCGCCGGCGCCGTGAGCAAACACATCCAGCGTCTATTTTCCTGACCCTCTTTCTCCTTACATGTTATTGGCATCAGAAGGACCCAGCATCACGGCCAGTTTCCTCAAAAGGGTGTCTTTCTTCCTGACTTCTGGACTTTATTTTTTTGGGAATACCGTTTTACTTTATATATATATATACACACTCTTTTTTGTTGCCAATCCAAGTGAGGTTAAACAAACATGCAGCGCCCCTCGATCTTCCTAAACCTCACTTCTAGAGGCAGCAGTCACGGAGTTTGCACAAGCCAGGGACCCTGCAACCCCACCAAAGACTCACACAGGGGTTTGGATCTGTCAGATCCGGGCGCATCCCAACCGTCCTTCTAAACTGCTGGGGGGGGGGGGGGCTATCAACCAAAAGCTGACTATTTAGCATCCGGGTCGCTCTGTTTTCCTTAAACAAACAGAAGACGTCCACATGCCGGTTTCATGCCCCCTCCCTTATCAACAGAAAGGTCCCGCAACTCTAGTCCGGCGCTCCGAACCACCCCAGAACCTATCTGGCTGTTGGGGCAAAACAACCAAAACACATGGGTCCCATGAGAAACCACGTCACAAGTGGTGGACGTGCATCCCCTGCATGATGTCCACCATTTCGGGTCCCTGCTAAAATTCACACCCATACATCTGGTGAACACTTTCAAAAGGAATCACTAAAACAACACGTAAACTCAAATCAGGATCCCTCAAAAAGCAAACAGCATGAAAACAACTGCGCCCAACCTCTTCGCAGCATTTCGGACCCCTTACAAACAATTCACCGCCCAAAAAAAAACGCGTCTCTTTTGCGCGCCCAAAGCGCGCGAAACCCCGCGTCAATCGAATCGCGTCAGGAGCTTCCCGCGCCGAAGAAGAGCTTCCAGCCCTACCACGCCCAGAGTGTGCCAAAGTCGGAGGACCTGGAGGCCGTTTTTTTGGGCGCGAGTGGAGGGGGGGAGGGGCCCAAAACGTGATTTCTAGGTCCCCAGCTAGGTGCCCTTTCTCACCAACCTTTTTGGTTGGGAGGGATCCCCTACTAGAATAGACTACAGAAAAAGTTGGTACCCTTATTCTAACCTCTCTACTGGAGGACCTAGTGATGGGCCCTGGAGTTCCTTGCGGGCTCCCAGTAAAGGAATGGCAAGGACGGGACCCAAACTATGAGGATGACACGTGGTGAGTAACTCTGAACCCCAGGGGGCTTCTGAAATGTAGGGAGAGACCGAGAAACCGAGCAGTTGGGTCTGTTTTTTGGAGTCGTTGCCCTTTTTTGGGGTTGTTGGGTTGGTTTTCAAGGGAGAATTGGAGGGGTCTGGAGGGACCCCCATGTTTGCTGGCTTCAAAGGCATGTTGCGGCTCCTTGTCTTAAGGTCAACTTCCTTTTAGTTTCCCTTGACCACGCAAGCTGGCGTGGGTGGGTCTACGGTGAGCCCTAGGAGCGCTTGTTTCTGAGGCTTGGGGTTTGAGACTGCCTTGGCAAGTTTCCCTGCCCATTAGCACATGCACTGGTTCAACCGGATCTCGCCAAATTGTGAGAACTGGCAACCCATTCTTTTGTACGGTAAGGTTCAAATCCGAATCCACTGATTCAGAGATAACTCACAAGAGGTAGTCACCATTAGTCGGCTCCCTTTGCCGGGGTTCTGGATGTACGCGCAAACCACAAATTGAAAGCCTAGAGGTAAATATCCTTACGGTCTGCCCAGATGCACTGGGGCTTTGTGCCATTGTGTATGGCTGGCAGTCAGGGTTGAGCTGTTGCAGGTTTGGATTGGTGGTTTGGGGATGTGAACTGCTGGCTTTTTGTAGTGGGTAAATGGGAACCCACCCCAAAAACGACCAACCCAGGCTCCAAACCGGGGCGGTTGGGAATTTGTGGCCTTTCGTCTTCGAACCCTTCGCTTCAAAAAGGGATTGCTCAACATAGGTTGTTCGCTTTCTTACAAGAATAGCGTGCCCTCAAAAACGAGACAGACCTTTGGTTGTTCAAAGATGTTGCACCAAGTCAACCCTTTGGTCCAATTTTGTTTGCGTTGCCACTTTGATTTGCCAGCTTTGAGCACCGTTTAGCCTAGGATTTATGTTAAATATGGGTGGGTCTGTTTTCAGAGGGACCCCCCCCAACAAAAAGAAAGCGGTTTTCCATTTGGCTTCCCTTCAAAGCCACCAAACAAAGCTAGCCTGGTTTCTCGTCTTGCGCCTCCGAACAGCAGGCTGTGGCGTTCAGTCGACAGTCCAGTGGAGATGCAGGAGATGTCAGAGCCTGAGAATCAGGAATGGGTCTCAGAACTAGACTCTTGACGGCTCATGGTTTGTCAAGACTCCATAGCTGCCAACACTTTCTGGCACATAGACTCGAGAAAGCTGAGGACAAAAGCGGCAAGGGGGTAGGTTGACTTCCTCCAATCCAGACCTCCGTCAGCTACCCAATGAGGGTTTCATCTTGACCCCAGATGTCAGCTGGGTTGGTGTATCATCCTTACGACAGATGGATTCCGTGGTTTCCCTCGTAGTGATGCCCCCCCCCCCATTTTGAACGAACCTGGCGAATGTTGGACCGGGATTGCGTGGTCAACCCATCCCAGGTGACCACGATGATGCTTCGGAATATCCCCAACAAGTACACGCAGAACTCGTTGCTCCAGGAGCTACGGTTTACACTGAACGCAGCGGGCGTGCTTTGCCGCGAATGAGTTGGGATTGGCTTTGGGCTTGGAACGTTTGCGAAGCAATAAATGCGGGCGCCCCTCTTGGGCATAGCGGCGCAGGGCGGGGGGGAAACTACATGTGGGGTGCCTTTTGTTTGAGAGCCCATTTTGGGACGACCAAATGTAGAGTTGCAATCCGCTCTGGGAGCCTCAAGCGCCATTGCGAAAACACCCCGGCAGAATATTAGTACTCCCCCAAAAAAATAACATGGAACCTGGACCCCTCGAGTTGCGGGAAATTGCGCTCGAGGTTGCGGGTTGCAAACTGCCCCCAAAATGCCAAAACGCGTCAAGCATGTGCAGGTTTGTTTGGCTTCCACTAAACACGCATTTGTTGCCCGAACAGCACAGCTCGAGTAATTTCCTGCCCCACCCCCTGCTACGCGGAGGGTGTGGGCCCTGGCAGCACAATTCACACGCTCCAAAGTATCTAAATTCCATGGAAGTTGATTTGCTCGAATTTCGTCTTTTTCCTAGAAAGTGCTCAGGAAAAAGTGCTTGTATGAGCAGAAACTGCTCGAAAGAAGGGTTGCCACAAGTTTGTGCTTGTTTGGGGGTCCAGGAAAGCAAAAAGGGGTCCTCTAACTGGGGTTTCCGGCCATGCAGACCCCCATAGAAACGCTTGGCAACCTCGTTTTTGCAGGGTTGCAACCCTACTGAATTATCTCACTCTCAACCAGCCAGATTTCCGGAGAGTCGCTAGGATCTCTCTACTCCCAGGAAGGTTCTAACAACCTTCTAAGATCTTCTCCGAGCCCTTCTAACAACCTCTCCATGGAGATAGGAGCCTCTCTTGTCTCAGGGGGCCTTTGGTTTCTGCACACTTTCAAGAGCGACTTGCTATCTCCCGGACCATCCCCACAGTTTATGGCTTGGGATATCTCAATGTGTTGAATTACGCCACAAGCGTCCGTTGCCCAAAAAGTTTGTATCTGTTTTTGGCCGTGCTTTGGAAGTCCCCGAAACGTCACATGGGCATTTCAAAGATTCGGCGTGCGTGCTGACGCCAGTTGTTGGATGTGCCAAAAGAATTGTGTAATGATTCTTACTAGCAAGCCCTCCAGACAGCTTCCTCTCATGGTGCCTGCCTTTTAGACAATGTCAGAATGGACCAGCCAGCCAGCTTTGACGCCATGTGTGTGGGTGTTGTTTTTGCTTAAAAAAACGTGTTTGATGGACATTGAAACCACTACCATTCGGCGTCCAAATCAAGCCCCTATTGGAGAACGCCAGGATACACTTACCTCTAAGCTGGTACATGGTTTTTCCCTAGGAAGAGCTGGATCCGTGCACGACATGCTCGAAGCATGACGACAGGAGATCAACGACATGGGGTTCTCGGGAACATTCAACTTCTTCTACCTCCCGCTGCTTGTTTGAGGTGTCCAGGCCATACCCCTCGGTTTGTGCATGTATCTATATATATATATATATACACACTACACTTGCATACATATATATATTAAATATATATATATATATATATAATATGTCCTCTTGAAGCGTCATCCCAACCAAAGAGAAGCTTCGCAAAAAAATAATGACCAACCAAAAGTTGAGATTTGTCACAGCTTTTGGCTTGGGAAACACCGTGGGGAGGGGGGCAGAACCCTTGTGATTCGAATCCCGAGACCTCGTTTTTGGTTCTTTTTTTGTCTCGGAAGGGTTTGAGACAAGCCGCCCGGCGGTCTTTAAGCCTTTGACTGCTCACTGTCGCGAAGCTCTTAAGGTATCAACCAGGGTTTCCTCCATTCTCCTGAAGGGGAACCTCAAGCGGCGATCCTTTCAATGGACACCGCCAGTAGATTGATTCAATTGTTGATTGGGGGAAATCCAGTGTCCCCTGACGAACCTCCAAATTCGCGCAATTGTTACCGGAATCGTCTGGAAGTCCTGCATCCCCATTGAGATTTCCAGATTGGTGCACTGACTTGTTTGACTTCCTGAATGCGCGGCGTCCCATGCAGATTCCTCCTTGGTTCCAAGATTGCACTGACTTTTGCCTTTGGGTGTAGTTCATAGGTCAAGTATGCATTGATTGCTTCACGCTCAGAACTTCCTGGATACCCTTCATTTTATTGGCCGATTGGTCCGATTCAACCCACACAATGGCTTGTACTCGACAACACCAGTGCTGGACTCCCACTCTGCGGGTTGGCCCGATCCAATTTGTCCTTTTCTCGAGTGCATGATACAGGTGGCTCGTCTTTGGCATTGTTTTTTTAGGGAAACCAAACGGAAAACCCGTTACGCCATTTTTTTTGGAAGAGGGTCCATGGCGGCTACGTTTTCCTTTTTTTTTCCAAGGCTTGTGCCTGCCTTTTCTTGAGGGTACCCTTTGGTTGAGTTTTAAAGGGAAGCCAAAAGGAACCTAAGGAAACCAAACACTTCGGGGGGCCAGAGGCAAGCCGATTGACTTGCGCATGTTGGTGGGTTTTGCTATGCCCAGGATGGACGTTCACAACCGCAGCAACGTCGGCTATGCCTTCATCAATTTTCTGCGCCCGGACGATGCCGAGACTCGGTCAGAAAAAAAAAGAAAAGACATCTGGCATGCAGAACTTGGGTGTTCGGCCAAGTGAGCAAGTTGTTGGACACCTGGTCGGAACCCACTTATAAGTCCCCTCGTTCAGTGGGGTTAACCTTATTATTAGGGGGTTATAGCCCAAGTGGCTAACCACTGGCTAACTTGGCCGAACTTCCAAGCAGAAATAGAGAAGCGATCAGTTTTCCGCATCGGGCTTCGGCCTGTGCTCAGAGCTTTCGAGCCAAGGGTCCTGGTAACAGGGAAGTTGTCCCCTTTTAGGCCCTAAAATTGGGTAACCGTTAGTTTGTGCTTTGGCTTGGTGGTTATTTGCTGAGGGTAAATGGAAAGCTACCTTTTAACTTCTAAACCACCTGGCTCCCAGACACCAAGGGCGAAGCTGATAAAACCCATTCTGGACCCTGCGGGTTCAGGGTTCAGCATGATCAAACGGGGATGGGACGCCAGCATGAATGTAGCACGAGTTTGAGGAAATCGAGCTCGCCATTCTAGAAGACGATCTGGGGATCCGCCTTTCTGGGGTTGGATCACCGGGACCCCGAACAAGTCGCAAGGCCAGAGAAAGTTCGATGCTTTCTGGGCTCTCGGGAAGTGAGCAGTGGGAATTGCTGGATTTGCGAAACACTAAATAGTGAATTCGTGATTTGAGACCAGAACATTGGTCTTAACTTAAAGGGTGGTTTCCCAAACGACCAGTTCTTGTGAAGAGACCATGGATGGATTGATGCACGATAATTACATGTTTTTTTCTGTTTTTTTGTTTTTCTCCAACAACTAGAATGATTGGTTCGTTCCCATTTTCCCCAATCCCACACGTCCGGCCTGGAGCCTCCATCGAAGCAACAATTTATGCCTGTGGTTCGATACACAAATTGACACGTTGCAGCGGTTTGTGTCTCCACAATTGCTCTCGGGCATTTTTGTTGGCTTCGAGCAGAAATCAAGTTCGTTCCTTTTACAGAGGCGAGTTTGGGAGAGTCGTCAACGAAAATAGCGCGCAAAAAGTGCGAAGCGAGCGCAAATCAGAGTAAACGAGTGCAAACGAGCGCAAACAATCCAAATCATGGTACAGGGAATGGGTTCCGACAGGCATAATTGCTGACAACTCGAGCGATTTTGTTGAAGAGATTGTTCGTAGTAAAACATAACGTATCAATGAGGCTGCAGCAGCGTGTTCTTCATATTTTCGAACAGGGTTCCGCTTCAAGTCAAACACCTTCAAAACAAGTTGGGAGCCGTCCCTGATTTTCCGTGGAAGTCTCACACGTTTTTGGTCTGGGTCCAAGAGATGCTATCCCCGTTCCACCAAGGCCAAATGGTGTTCACAGAAGATGATTCAGCATGTTTTGAGCAGGGGGTCGAAACTCCCCGCAGGCATGGTATGAGTGGCCCCAAAGCTGATATTCATTTTGGGGGTGGCGCTTCTTCTTGCGGGCATAAGGAAACAACCACGCATTTCGAGGGCCTGCTGCAACCCCCAACCCCTCAACCCCCCAAACCCTCAATCCCCCAACTCCCCAACCCCCACCCCCCAAACCCCCCCCCACACCGGCAACCCCCCGATCCTGTTCTTCAGGAGCTCTTCCGCTCAAAGTTTTCGGATCATCGTTTCCAGCGGTTCCAGAGCCGGAAGATCAGCAGCGTTTGCACTGCACATGTCCAGGCAACGGGCCCCGCGGTCGGACCGATTCGAAGCGTGGGTGTGTGTCAAAACAGAAATTTGGAAACCCAAATGGGGGGTCCTTTGGTTTCCCTCTTATGCAACCCCACAAAGGACACCCTCAAGAAAGTTCACGACAGACCAACGACAAATCAAGAAGCACGGGTGTCCGTGTTTCTTTCGACCAACTTGCCAGACGCTGTTGAGGGTAACGCCCCCTTGTTGAACCTCAAGTGGCGAACCATTGTTGAAGGCTGAAGTAGACTAGGGGTGTGCCGCTAAGCTCAAAGTGATGCAAGGGTTGCAAGGCACCCTCTACGCAATGTCCATTTATACACATTATGGCGGCTGTCAATTTTTGGGTGGTGTTAAAGGGAAACCACTAGGAGACCACCCAAGAAAACACCCCAAACTTTAGTGAGCAACTACACGTGTGCTTGGGATTCTGGGAAGGAGACCCCGCGCTCTCCGTTTTTGTGCAGTTGACGGGATGCTGAATTGCTGCGATTGCATTCGCATGTGTGTGCGGCGTGTGAGCGTGTGCTTCCATTGTTTTTTGAGAGCAACTTTTTATGGGGTTGTATACCGTGAAGCCAAATGGCAGTTCCCCTGCACTCGTGAAGCCAAAGTGGATGGTTGAAGCACCAACATTTTGCACTTTTGGCTTGCATAGGATGCTCCCCCCTCTCCCCCGGCCCTCAGCTGGTAGTTTTTTGTATTTCTCGTTTCGCGGAAGGGAATTGTTTCAAGCTGGTGTTCGGCTTCCTTGGTGATTTGGATTTGGGGGGGTTTGAAGCCCTGGTTCTTGTGGGCAAGTGGGAAACCACTTCCCAAGCTTCAACAAAAACCAAGCCACCCTTTTTGAGGGCCAGGGTCATGCGCACTCCGGGTGAAGCTCGCTCAAGATGCCTTTCAGACGGGTTCAGGTTGACCTTGGATTCGTAACTTCCTTGAAGTGAAGGATACGGTCTAGAATGACAATCCCCTTTTCTATCAGCCAGGTGTTCATAAGGGGGGAGCCTAATTTTCGAACAACCCAGAGGCATCTCAGTGGGTGGCGACGCAGTTTCCAAAAGATGACCAACCCCGAGGGTAGAGTATTGGTTTTGGTTTCTCATGGCTTTCCTGTACCGATGTTGCCCCGATTTCTACCCTTCCCATCTCGTATCATAGAAATCTGGACCCAACTTGGCCCGTGGCTTGGGGCCCCAGTCCTGTCAAGGGTGGGAGAGTGGGGCTGCGCTTTGCGTTTTGCCTTTTTTCCCTATATACAACCTTTGATTTGCAGGAGTCCTGCCCGATTCTTTTTGGGGGGGGCTGCCGATCTTTGCTACACCACCAGGCCGCATCTTAGGGGGAATCTGAGGTGTGGCAGATCAGGAGTCCCGTGGGTCTTTCGGACTTTATTGCGGATCCACGTCTTGCCAGTCAAGGGCTTCGCAGATCCAAGCGCCGAACAGGGATGTGGTGTCGTGAGGTTCCCCCTCATCCCCCTTCACCGGTTTGGGGATGCGGCTGCCTTCAGGGCTTGCATGAGAACCTCCGCCACTTCCAGAATCGCGCCGTGACGCATGCAAGGACCCGACCAAACAAATCGAGTCCCAAGAAAATTTTCCGGTCAAAAAAGCCTGCCGTCAGCCTTGATAAAAGACTGGGTTCATTGACTCGTGTGTTGAAACCGCTGCCGTTTCAGCAACCTTTCCCCCTCAAAAAGGGAACCGAAAAGGAGTTCAAAAGCGGCCCAACGGGTTGATAAAATCAATTTACCAACGCTACTTTCAAGCAACGGGCAGTTGGATATCGTTTCCTGACAGTTGTTTATTATTTGTACGGATAGGAGGTATGTCACTTTTTGATTGTTCCCTTGTGTGTGTTTCTCGTGGCAAGACTGTCGGGCATTTGACAGCGTTGATTTCGGTGGACCTGTCAATTCTAAACGTCTCGCAAAGACTACCAGGACTAGCTAATTGTCCAATGTTCCCTAAAACATGTTTTGATTCCTGATCATTTGAGAGACACGCCACTTTTTTAATTTTCGACGGGCGTTCCAGCTGTACTCGGCAAGCCATCATCACCCCAGGTCTCTTAGACCCATGTGGAGATTTACAGTTCGGTGAAGGTAGCTGAATGGTGCCTTCTGCTTTCACCCTTTCGTCTTCGTGATCTCCTTACCACAAGCAAAAGCAAATATTTAGGCCCTGGTCCCAACCCAAACTGACCGTGGGATGGCATTCCGTTTGGTGGCTGGAATGCCATTCCTGCTTGGCTTTTAAGGGCGTTCACTAGTCCAAATTGTGGACTAGATCACCATGTGAATGATGGTATGCATAGGTCCCTTTTGTAGATTCTCACCCAAAGCATTTGGACGTGTTTTTTTCTTCTTCTGGTTTGTCAATTATACACTCGTGAATCGGAGCTGTACGTTTGTTGCTATGAACATTGGCAATGGCCGGTCAGTCTGGGCTGTGCAGAGGCAATCCTCAATCCTTTTTCCCTCACCTTGGGTTACGAAAGAATGCCCCTCGTAAGGCTGATCGTATTCCATGTATGAACCCACGGCCATTTGGGACCTTGGTGACTGTTTGCCCATGATTACTAGGGGGTCATACCAGGGGATACAGATGGGTTAGTACATTCGGGCTTTCAGACGTGATTTTCTTCCTGGGATTATTAGGATTGGCTTACCTTCCATTTTGATCAGCCCAATTCCTTTTGCCAGTGTTGTTTTTGTTTCGAG